AACGAGATAGCAAGGAGGTTGTGCCACACGTAACAATCCAAGTTGTGCCAGAGGTTGAGATAAACTTAATGGGTGGGCTTTTTTTTTTTAATGGGTGTAAAGAACAGGATCAGACTCACCTACAGCCTGCAGCCCCAGTGAAAAGCTCCTGATTCTGCTTTACCTACAGATAAGAGAAGCAACACAGCATGAGGTAGCTCTACTCACGGGCCTGTAGACACTTTGGTTTAAGACATCAGGCTTTAGAAAAGGAGGTTAAAGGGTTCATTCTTTTTGCTCATGGATTTGAATTGCAATTTGAAGTTCTAAAAATGAGACACAGAACTGTCAGATCCCAATATGCCTCATTCTTGAACAGCTTGACTTCTGCACATTTGGGACACAGGGAACATTCTGTCAGGCCCAACACAAGAGAGTTCATTTTTTTTTTCTGAAAATATTTCAATCTCTATTCTGGATCCTGGGTTCCCTGTGTTCTACATAAAGACGGTAGCAGCAGGCAGGAGACTCTGCCATTCTGGCATGTTCTTGTGATTCAGACTTGGGAATGAACTGCAAGTGCCCTGGCTGCTGACACAGGTCTGTGTCAAGTGTGAGAAGGGGTAGGCTGAGGGCTGGGTGATGAGCAGGCCACGTGCCTGGAAACCGGGCACTGCTATTAGTTTAACAGCCACCACGGAGACTGCGAGACTGAAACCGTGTTAGGCTGACTGGGTTTAGATCATCTTTGAGAGCAATAACCTGCTTGATTTGGGTCAACTGGCGAGATTTTTATTAGCATTTGTCACAAAAACCAGGATCAGACAGATGCAGGAATGGCATATGGTGGCAAGGTGGCAAATAACAGGGGACGTGCATTTCAAACAGTATCGTGGCTGACTCATTTGTTGGAATGACAAGCCCTTATAAATGCAGAGACCTTATAACTTATCAAGATAAGAAGAAAGGCCCCTCGCCAATTTCATCTGACTCTTGGCTCTGTTAGTGCTGTCATTTGATGTCGGTGCTTCTAATCTTCTTACTGGCTCACTTCAGGTTTTCCATCTTTACACCGAAGGGGATGAGCTAATGTGCATATTTTGCATCTTTTCGGATCCTGGGCTATTTCTTTTGTAGCTTGTTGTAGGGAAACTGAGTGAACCAAAGCTTCGTGTGGAACCCAGTCAATCTTCATACTCAATAATGTTGTTAACATTAGTTATCTTTGAAATGATGGCTTGTTTTTGTTTTTTGGTGTAAATAGTTGCAGTGGGAAACGTGTCCAGGCGGGGCTTTCTTTCCCTTTATGATTTTTTAGTATAGTTACCAGTGATCAGGATTTGCATAGAATAAAACAGCCAGGACTCTTCCCTCCTGTTACTGCATCCCGTAACCACAGTAACAAGAATTCATAGAGTTGTAGAAGATTTTTTTGAAAAGGAAATTATGGATAAATATTAAGGATGGAGTAAGAACATATCTCATTGGGTACTATGATCTTCAATGTGAGAATGAATACATCCTCTTGTAGAAAACCTATTATGTCCAGATATATATGGACGCCTTAGTTATGCAGTTCATAATTCTTCTGTGCCTCACTGTAGAGGAGAAGGTGGAAGGATACCAGGTGAGGGGGAGCCCTCTAGAGGACAATCACCAAAGCAGACACTGGAGCAGGAAAAAACTAGAAGTAAAGGAGAAGGAATGTTAAATTTAGGGCAGATCTGAACTGATGGTGTAAAGGTAATGTGACTTGCCATGTGCTTCTGTTGATGTTGTGGTGGAGCAAAATGGTGACTTTAGCAGTTTAAGAGCTGCCAGGCTGTGGTTTTGCACACTGACCCACAGCAGCTCTACATAGTGACATTTAACCATAGAAGCTTGCAGCGGCTAGCAGGTACCTCTCACTGAAAACCACAGTAGCAGAAGCAGGAAACAAAGCAACAGGGACAGAACAATCCCTTAGTGCAGTAAAAGTCCCTAAGTGTATGAGCTAAGAGTCCCTAGGCTGTTGACAAGCTTGCACCCATTTACAAAATGTAGACTGCACCCTCCAATAGAATTGCACCAACTCCCTTGCCTTGATATACCCAAAACTTGCTTATAAGGGGCTGGGGTTGTAGCTCAGTGGCAGAGCACTTGCCTTGAATGCGTGAGGCCCTGGGTTTAATCCCCAACACCACATTAAAAAAAAGTAAACAAAACTTGCTTATATACCAGTGTAAAAACCATGCTGTACTCAGGGCTCAGACTTTGAGAATTATCCCTCTGGGCTCTGGTGCTACTAATAAAGTATTGCTGCCAGTTGCTGTTGGTGTCCTGACCCTCATTTCCTGCCACAATGTAGAACATATTTATTAACAAATTGGTCATATAGCATCATCAGGGATTTTATTGATGCATGTGCTAAGTAGGTACTAAAATAAAAATCATTATTTCCACTCAGCGTAATTCACAGCCCTAACCTGCAACACCTGGGATAGGCAAGGTCAGGAAGTGGGGTGCATTGTGGTAATAAATAGGAAATTGAGGGTGAGTTGGATGAGGGGACCCCTCTCCCAGGGGTAGTGACAGGTAGGGTTTTCTCTGAATTCCAGGTGCTTCTTTAAATGGAAAAATGTGCCTTATAAACCCTGACCTGAGTTGGGCCATGAATATCATTATAACTCACTGCTGTTTATCTTATGCCCAGGAAGAAATTGATGAAGCACTTCCTCTCCTGTGTCCCTGACCATAATACACATAAGATTGTAATACCAAATTTATACCAAAAAAATTAATACCCTCTTGGCAAGGGTTTTAGTATTTCTGTTGATCCCTTACTTATAAATAAAATGAAAGAAGAGTTTAAAAATCTTAAACTTTGCAGTGCAAAATGACTTCTGACATCAATGGTTTTAGAGGATATTTTTAGAACATGTTGTATGGGAAATATCCTGCTGTCTGTGTGCAGTTAGATATTCATAGTATACATATCTGTGTGTATATCTAAATCTATCCAACCAATTAGGGTTGGGCCACTTGCTCACAGGTGCCTTAATGACCATCATTCATAAGCCCATCTCAAAAATCATGTGTGTAGGAAATAAGATCCAGACAGTGAAGCTCGTACCTGTCAAAACCAGCATAAGATTCATAACCTAAGCTTAGTCAGCCAGTGAAAATATGGACTCAGCACATTTAAGCCCAAACCACAGTGGCCTTCACTTCTAGTCTGAGACACTACAGGGCCCCTGAGTTTCTAGTCAGCAAGCCTGCTTTGCCCTTTGTTGAAGAGAAAATAGTGATAGCAAGGATTTATAAATTCCAGGTACATGTCAGGGGCCCTCCTGGATCTCACATCTTCCCTGAAGACTGCTGGGCTCATACATGTGGCCATATCTGAACCCTCTGTGGTCTTCCTCTCTATGGGACTCAATGGGTGCTCTATCGTGTAATAGGTTGGCTAAACTCCCTGTGTGTCCATGACCCTGGCACATGCGCATGCCCTTGAGAGCAAGGACAATGTCTTACACCTCCTAAGTGTAGTTCACGCCTGTATTCATTCATCTGCGCAGAAAATAGTTATTGAACCTATTTGAGGCCAGGTCCTGTTCTACTCTTTGAGGATATACCAATAGAGAGTCTTTGGGGTTAATGAACATAAAACTCATAGCCAGAACCATGGAAAGATAACTATAAACTTGTAGGCCCTGATAAATGTGACAGAGGAAAATGAAATATAACGCTCTAAGACAGAAGAGTTCATGATCTTATTTAAATTTGGGAGCAGAAAAGACTCCAAAATGATAATATTTAAACTGAAACCCAAAGAAACATAGTCTTTTCTTCAGTAGGGACTAGGAAGTATTTCTTGCCTTGAAAAGTGTTTAATGGTCTCTAAAGTCACATGGCATTAACGTCCTAAGTGCAGCGAATCTCCATGGCTGTGTCTCCCAGTGCAGCCTCTCCCACCCCTTTTGCCAACTTCCCACACCTTTTATCTGGAAGGAAAGCAGTTGGATCTCAGGACTACTTGCAGAATTAGGACAAAGTTGTTCTTGCTAAGATACTTATGAAGCATTTCAGCAGTCTCTAGTACACATAAACTCAAGATGGCATGTGACCTTGATCACTGGTGTTGCAAAGTAAAAAGTATGTGGCCTTCAGGATTCAGCCCATTTAGAGTTGAATCCCAATCCCGTGACCTCCAAGAGATGATTTCATAGACTCAGTTTCTTCCTCCTGTGAAAGGGAGGACAAGGTCTCTTGAAACTCACAAGGATTCGTGAAGACTGATATGACACATCCAGGCACAGAGCTAGCAGTCACTCAGTCACTATAGCCCTGCCCCACCTTTCTCTGAACCCTCTGGGCCCCAGTTTCTGTGGAACCCCGCGGTTCTTCTCTCTGCTCCAAAAATCATGTGAAGATTGCTATCACTTCCCTCAAAACCACTCCCAGAGTCCAAATTGGCTTCAGTTAAGAGATGTAACAGGCCCATGATGGGCCACCTGGGCCCTAACCTTGGAAAGATGTGACCACCAAAGGACTGAGCAACACCTCAGTACTGCTCAGAGTAGTCTAGAGCCAAATGGCGCAGGAGCATCTCCCATCCACAAGGTAGGGGCAGTCTAGGATTTGGTCCAGAGGTAACCTAGGGACACCAGGTAGAGTGATCATTCAGAACCTGGAAGCAGGAAGTAGGGACGCACAGATGGAAGCCCAAATGTGTGGGTGCAGCTTACCAGGAAGGGGGGAAAGGGGCTATGATTGAGGGCTCCTTGAGGCCTCCAGGACTTTATGCACAAGATGGGCACTTGGCTTGAGGCTTCTAAAAGAAAGAGTCCATTCTAGGCTTCAGGAAGAGAGGTGTGGGCGAGGCTGAGGCAGTCTTCAGTGATAGCTGCAGGTAACCGCCTGGACGAGAGGTCAGCTTTGGGGAGGGGGTATGGAAGTAGGAGAGCTCCCAGCAGTCAGGCCGCTCTGCTCCTCTGTGAATGTTACATGCAATTATAGTCAAACCTCTTCTTCTTTTGCAGGTCAGCACTGACACTTCAGGCTTGAGGAAGCCAGATCCGAAAGGTCGGAGTGCCCTGTTGGCTGATATCCAGCAAGGAACACGCCTGCGAAAAGTCACACAGATCAATGACCGCAGTGCCCCACAAATCGAGAGTAAGCAAGCAGTTCAATCAGGCCTACCGCAAACCCAGGGCAGGGGCACAGGGCAGGGCACAGCCACAGTCCCCTGGCTGGGTTGCATTTGTGATGCAGGACACACCAGGCCATCTCAGACCTGCTCAGTGGACAGGCAGATGGGCAAGAGAGTGAGATGTTTTAGAGTGCATCTTCCATCACTTTTCAAAGGCTAAAAGTTAAAAAACAAAACAAAGCAAAAACCCCATGGTGGTTTAACTTTTTTATTCATTGTATAAAATACATATAACACAATTTACCAATTTTACCATTTTAAAACCTTTAGCAGCATTTACTATATCCACAATGTTGTTGGAACCATTCCCTCTATCTAGTTCCAGAAAATTTTTATTACCCCAAAAAGAAAATCCCGCACTCATTAACAGTCACTCCATTCCTCCCAGCCCAGCCCCTGGCAGCCACTAACCTACTTTCTGTCTCTGTGGATGAGCTTATTCTGGTTATTTCATAGGAATGGAATCATGTCCTCTGTGGCCTTTTGGTGACTGGCTTCTCTCAGGCCAGCATTTTCAAGCTCCATCCATAATACAGTATGTGTCAGTACTTCAGCCTTCTCACACAGTTTCATCTTATGGATGTACCACATTTTGTGTGTCCATCATGGGGTAACATAAAGATCCCTTACCCTGTGCCAACATAGTCCTCAAACTTAACTATAGACGACAAAGCTCTCAACATTAAAAAAAAAAATGGAGTTTTTGTTTTTCACAAGGAAAAAGATGTGTTCAAAATTCTATCTCACAAGATCCTATGACTGCAGCCTTCTGTCTTCCAGAACACAATAGGAGCCTGTGTGCAGGTCAGATAACTCATGTTGAATTCTGCTTCTGCCACCAGGCAAATCAAGGGGCCTCTTGTTGTTTGTTGTTGTTGTTTGTTTTTTGTTTTGGTACTAGGAATGAAACACAGGCTCTGCCACTGAACTACACCCCTATACACCCCAAGCCCCAGGGAACTTCTTTGAGGCTCAGTTAGCTCATCTGCAAAATGAAGGAGATAATAATACCTGCTCTTTTTTCTACGGTGGGGTAGTGTTCAGATTATGGAAGATTGAATTATTTAATAATGTAAGGTATTGGGTCTTTATATATTTTGCAATGATGTGCATGATGGTCCTAAAGCTAGTCCTAAAAACATAATTGTATCTCATATGATAACACACAAAGACACTTTTTTTGAGGGGGGCAGTACTGGGGATTGAACTCAGGGGCACTCAACCACTGAGCCACATCTCCAGCCCTATTGTGTATTTAATTATTTAGAGATAGGGACTCAAATGAGTTGTGTAGCACCTCACTTTTGCTGAGGCTGGCTTAGAACACACGATCCTCCTGCCTCAGCCTCCTGAGAGGCTGGGATTACAGATATGCAGCACCACACCCAGCCAAAGACATGTTTTTAAAAAAGCGTTTTCAAAATTGATTATAATATAAATTAGTTTCCATTTAGACCCACTGTCTACTTGGCTACGCTCAATTAACAAATTAATCTATTTTGTTGGAACATCCACTTCATATTGACTCCAATAAGTAATGTATATTAATACTCAGAATAATCTGTCTACTTTCAGCCACCAGTGGGCACTGTGTCCTAACTTCTCCCTGCATAATAGCTTCAGGCTATAAATACATTCTGTCAGTGTTTTTTGCCTCCACTGAATATCTTTTCAGGTTCTGCAATTGGTAATCACACACATCTCAAAGGCTAGAGTTAGTGATGTCCAAGCTTTCAGGCTTCCTGTTTTACAGAAGAAGAAGTTTAGGGAGTCATAGGGTGGGCCCAGTGTCTGAGAACCCAGGAGAAGGAAAATTCTGAAGCAGAAATCATTGCAGACCTTCACTTCCTGGTTGTAGTTCTGGTCAACCCCCTGTGGACAGCAAGTTAAGATGGTGCGCCGAATCAAATCCATAGGTTTTCTTTGTCTAGTCTTCCCAATGCCAAGCTGCGAATAGGACCAACTCTACACCTGCTGTGTTCAGGTTTTCTAATTTGCAGTGCACTGCTGATTCCCCATCAGCATCCAGCAAATGGGTAGAATTCAGGTCCCTTTGTTTGGTCGCCTTTCAGGGTGGTTGGCCACAAATGGTTAGCTCTTTGACAGGGCTGGAGAGGGCAGCAGACATATGTAGGCACATGAGTCTGCAGAGTATCAAGGCAGAGGGCACCTGGGGAAGATGCTGAGTGCAAGGGCAACACTGGAAAGAGGACAATGGGACACTGCTGAGACGGTGTCAAACCCCAGAGTGAGAAGGAACTGCTCGGCTCTACTCACACATCTTCACCACTTGCTCTTCTTTTTGAAGGTTCGAAAGCAAGCAACAAAGAAGGAGGAGGCTCTGCCAACTCCCGAGGAGGAAACACACCCCCAGTCCTGGGAGATCTCTTCGCTGGTGGCTTTCCTGTGTTGCGACCAGCAGGCCAGAGGGATGTAGCAGGTAAGGAAAAGTCTGGACTAGTTACATCATAGTCTAAATCTCCTTAACTTGTGGAACCAACTGGGCAATCCACATGTGCCCAGTTGGTTCCACATGTGCCCAGGAACATGAGTTTTATAAACAGTCATGTTAGAGATCATGTATTTGGAAAGTTAAACACTGGAACTTTCTAAAGAACAGAATTGTTCATGAGGAATCTTTCAAATCATCATCCTAACTAAATTGTTGTAATAATTGAAGAGCAACTTGTATTATTTAGCAATGGTGTAATGGTTGCCCAGACAGAAGGTGCAAATCATAATAGATCATCATAATGACATCACTGTGGACTCACTAGAGATGCATGAGTTGTAATGGTTTTCATTCATTGTATCAGTTAGGCGTTGCTATGTAACAGAACACAGAAACTTAAGAGTTTTAAATGACCATTTATTATTTAGCCTATAATTCTGTGGGTTAGCAATGTGGAGTGATCTCAGCTCTACTCCCTCAGCATCTGCAAACCTGCAGGTTAGGTAGGTGGCTTTCCTTTATCTTAGATTTCTCCTGTTTTTCCTGTCTCTGAGGCTCAGGCCTGACTCACCTCAGGCTTGACTCACAACTGGCTTGACTCACCTCAGGTCCACATGGTCTCTCAGTCTCCAGCAGGCTGCTCAAGGGCTTGTTATCACGGTGGTGGCAAGGCTCCAAAATAAAAGGAAGATGTGTATAAAGTCCCTTGAGGCTTAGTCTTGGAAGCTACTGAGAAGTAACTTGGAAGGCTAGGAAGTGTTAATTCCTATCACATCCAAAGCAAGTGACAAAGATGTGGAAATAGACTTCATCTCTTGATATCATATTCAATCATTTTAAAAGGTTATGTTAATAGTCAATCATATTCAAAGATTACAGAATTAGGCATGAGAGGGTAATTGAGGCCATTACTACAATCAGTCTATTGCAGTTATGTGTGCTTTAGCGGGCACTGGATGTTTTAAAACTTTTACATTCAAATTGGGTATATATATAGTAGAAAAAAGTGTTTTCCTACTATTGTGCTCTTTAGCCAACAAGCTGAATAAACTCCAGGGGTATCACTGACCCAGGGACTGTCAGGCTCCAAATATTCCTGGTACCTGATCCTCCACCACGTGAGCAGGAAACAGAGGATTTTGTACTCTTAACAGACTCACTTTCAGGGTTTTTCAATCTTGGATTCACGATGTTTTCAATCATTTTAAAAGTTTGGATTGGTTATTCAAGAGTAGGCTCTGTTCTGCTTTTTAAATTTATGATTCTTTTAAATTTCACTTGGCAATTGGGCATCTAGGTAGACCCTGACTTATTTAGGGAGCTGCCTGGGTTTTCTGTCATCATCTCTGTGTACTATGGGAACAGGTTTCAGAACTTTTAGGCTGGATTCTCTGTGCTGATCCCTGCCCTAGACATCATATAAAACATAGATCTTGTCCCTGAAAAGACCAGGTAGGGCTTTCTACTCCTGGGCATAGGCAGCCAGCTGTTCTGGCCCCTGAAATTAAGTTAATTCCTCAGGACAAAGATATGTCTTCCAGAATCTCCTCAAAGAAAATCTTCAGTACAGGGATGACATCACCACTTGCCTTAAGAACAACCAAGCTCTAGTAGTATTGCCCAGGTGACTGTCACATCATAGCCAGAGGGCCACCAGTGCGAAAACCCAGATACCATACTCCTGCCCACTTATCTTCTTCCCCCAGGGGCACTTCTTCTATGCCTTTGGCCTGGCTTTTGACATCAAGTCCTTCAGGAATGATTTGTAACCAGTTTGGGGAAACTCTGGAAATTCATATGGGATGAAAAACCCCAGAACCCCTCAATAGACACTGGAGTTTATAATCTGAAACAAAAGCTGCCCCTATGCTGCAGCACCCAGGAAGTTGTATGTGTGAGAAGCAAGCATTTTTTCAAGTGTTTTCCACATATTGCCATATAAAATATAGGGGTAGTGAAATAGGAGAAAGTGTGTTCCCCAGAACTCCTTTAAGGGAGGACTGTATTTGGAATAACTATTTGAATATGCCTCCTGAAAGGAGAGTGACATTCCCTCTGACAGTGACCTCTCTTAAAATCATATTTAAACAATGATTGCAGAACTTCATTAACCAGGAAGAGGAAATTTTTTTCTCCTTAGCAAGAGGCAAGGGAGGGGGAAGAAGAGAATCAGCACTGTGGTACAAGGTTATATCAAGAGTCAGAGCTCCCTCCAAGGACCCTATATCCATCCCAATCCTCCATAAAGTTCACCAAACACAAACAAGCAATTTGTTGTTACCCCTGAGTTTAAGAGTTATTGGATTTCAATGATGTGGTTGGGCTGGGGTTGTGGCTCAGTGGTAGAGCGTTTGTCTAGCATGTATGATGCCCTGGGTTCGATCCTAGGCACCACATGAAAATAAATAAATAAAATAAAAGTACTGTGTCCAACTACAACTAAAATATAAATATTTTTTTAAAAAAAAAAAATGATGTGGTGAAAGAGACACATAGAGGATGAGAAATTCAGAGATCAGGAAAAAGCCAGCCCTTTGAAAACTAGAGTAAGTTTTGGGGAAAGAGGGCTTTGAACTTCTAGAGGCCATGTAACTAGGAGGTTCAAGGTCATTGGACCTGGAATGTGGAGGACAAGTGTTTCCCTGCTGATTTCCCTTATGTATTCAGGGAATCATGAATTTTATGTTTGCAATATAAAAACAAAGGATGTCCTTGTTCATAAAATGCTAGCAGTGAGGAAAACCTCCCTAGCCAGGTGTTTGGGCTTGGTATACCTAAGGATCCTAACTAGAGCATAAGGGCAACTGCACCTGGCAGGTAATGGTGAATGAATGTGAGGAGTCTTGAGATGAGGAAGGGCACAGGTCAGAGCAGTCCTGTGTCCTGGGCTGGACATGAGAAGGCTGTTGGCAGGTGAGAACAGAATAGTAAGATTAGGGTCTGACCTGGGCTTGTCTGGAAGGACAGCTCCTTGATGCTCAGAAGGAGCACGCACTTGAGCTTCTTCCTTTCTCTGTTGTTGAGCTAACCCAGAATTTGTTTCATTTCTAGGTGGCAAGACAGGGCAGGCCCCTGGTTCTCGAGCGCCTTCTCCCCGGCTTCCCACCAAAACCATTAGTGGCCCGCTTAACCCCCCTGCATCTCCCAGGCTAGGCAATGCTTCTGAGGCCCAAGGCGCTGCCAGGATAGTCCCTCCTCGCCCCAATGTGCCCGCCCCACCTCCACCTCCTCCGCCCCTACCTCCACCTCTACCACCGTCTTCCCCCACCAAGGCCTCGCTGGTGTCCCCACCCGGCCTACCGACCAAAGGGAGCTCTCCTGCCATTGCACCCACTGTCCCCTGCCCTCCTCCGCCTCCACCTCCGCCACTTCCTCCGACCCCACCCCCTCTGCCCCCGGCCTCCCTACTCAGTGACAAGGCAGTGAGGCCTCAGCTGGCCCCCTTGCACTTCCCGCCCATCCCGCCCCCGCTCCCTCTCCTCCCACCCTGTGGGTATCCAGGACTCAATGAGGAGCCTGCCAGCCCCGCCCAAGAGGTGCCAGAGCCTCCCGCCCCGCCGCCGCCGCCCCCACTCCCCCTGTATGCTTCCTGTTCGCCCAGGGCTTCGGTGCCAGCGCCTCCCTTGCCAGGCGCTAACAACAGCAGCGAAACCCCTCCCCCGCTGCCCCCCAAGTCCCCCAGCTTCCAGGCCCAACAGCAGAAGGCCAGCGCGCAGGGCTTGCCCGCACCACCTGGCCCTCTGGGACCTCAGCCGCTCCTGCAGAAGAGGAGGATCTGCAGAGGCCCAGGTAAAGCAGCCCAGTCCGCGGAACCCCGTGCAAACCGTGGGATGGCTCCAGTCTCAGAATCTTGTTTTAGTCCAGAGCTACTCAGTGCCTCTGGGTAGAACCTTGTCCCTCTAAGGGACTTTATTGTTGGAAGTTTTCATTTTAGAGACGCAAACCAAGGGCGAGGGGGATTGAGAGACTTGTCCCAGATCCTGCAGAAGGTAAGGGAGGGATTCTGGCCATGATCCTCTTGCCATCACTGGCTGGGACCCTGGACAACCACCTAGCTGTCTGTGCGTCCTTCTCTGTAAGATGGGGACAGCAATCTTTCTACCTCCTGGGGTTGTTGTAAAGATGGAGGCCTTGTATGTGTTGCGCTTGGAACAGGGAATAGCAAGTGAGCTCTAGAGAAGGCTTTTGTTTTTACTATGGACTTTCTATCTCCAGATCTACTCCTCAGGTGGGGCTTGTTTCCCAGCCCAGGTCTCTGGTTTAGTCTTCTCCTGAATTATTCCAGTCTGGCTCCCAGCCTGAATCTTCACTGGCCATCAGCAGATTGGATTCACATTCTGCCTTTTGGCAGGTTCTCAGCTGACTGGAGAAAACAGGGCCTGTATCTTTAGCCAAAAAGCAAAAATAATTCTTCACGTACAGAGCAGAGAGGATTGTGAATTGTTGATGGCTCATGACTTACTTCACTGGTCCCTGTAGTGGTAGACTTCATGCACTGTTGACGCCTTTCCACACAGAAGGTACCACCACACATCCACACACACCTGCATTCACACACACAACTCAAACACAAGTACAAGCACTCTCTCAGCCTTACACACAAACACCCTAATAAATGCATACTCCATACACACACCCGTATACATACACAATTAACACATATACAACTCCCCCCACACACATATCCATGCATATATTTTTTTTCTGTCAGTAAATCTCTTGATGCAGAGAGTTTCTTAAATGTATTTCCTTAAATTAAAAACAATGCTGCCAGCTTATTGTGGAGCAAATAGAAATAATATCGCCTAGAGATGAAAACTGTCATTTGGATGTCATTTTCATTTTTTTCTGAATACATGTACGTTTACATGCTTAATACCACTTTGTACTTACAATTTTGTATTTTTATTTAATACTATATTAAAAGCAGTTTTGTCAAATTATTAAAATGTATAAGTAAATTTAAATGATAATGGGTACATACATTTAAGTTGATTCCCTGTTTTTGTTATTATGAATAACAGTGTAGGATTTTAGTCTATACTTTGGATATTTTTTATTTTTTTAATTAATTTTTTTTTAATGTGGTGCTGAATACTTTGGATATTTTTTATTTTTTTAATTAATTTTTTTTTCTTATGTGGTGCTGACGATCAAACCCAGTGGTTCACACAAGCAAGGCAAGCGCTCTACCACTGAGCCACAACCTCAGCCCTATTTGGGATATTTTTTAGAGGATAGGTTCCTAAGAGAGAATTCCTAGCACAAAGGGCAAGAATATTTTTAAGACTGTTGATCAGAAGAGATAAGGTTTTAGTCATTCTTCTTTCAACTGACTGGTCACCAGGAGGCCCAGCATTGAGAGTGGTGAGCCTTTTGCTATCTGTGATTTTAAATGTCTGTGGTGGAGTGGGAAAAAAACATGTCTTGGATTTGGAGAGTTTTGAGTTCAGATCCTGGGTTCCCTACACACTCCTGTGTAATCTGATGCCAGTTACTTGGGTTTTTTGTTTTGTTTTATCTTGACTTTTTTTTTTTTTAACTCTGACAAGTAGGAATAACACCTTTAGTAGGACAGCACCTTTCACAGGGCATTGCTGTGACTATGCGGTGAGGGCCTGAGCATAGCTGGGGCAGCAGCCTGTTTTTTCCTTCCTTCCTTCTCCTTTCCCACAAGGAGGGGCAAGTTCCCATCCAGAGGACGATCAGCAGTCTCTTTAGCCCTTTAGTCTCCTTGTGGGATCAAATAACTCCTAGGTGCCTAGGAAGAGAAGAGTGAGAGAAAGAAGCCTGGGACAGACCCTTTGGGCAGACCCTGCAGGGAAAGCAGGAGCTCGGAGGGCACCACTCTGCTGCTGCTGCTGCTGCTGGAACCCCCACCTGCTCCAGAAGGCTTGCCTGGCCTCTCCCTTGGTGTCTTTGGACGTGAAACTTGATTTCACATATAAAATGGGGGTAACTTCTACTTCAGCTTAACTTGGGAGAAGGGAAAGAAGTTATAATTGTAAGCAACTAGCACAGGGAACAGTGGTGTACTGGCAAAGTGATGGTGGCAATGTCATTGGGGAAATAAGCAGCAGTAGGGTATATATAATGAGGAGCCAGGACACTGGGCTGTAGACTGCCAAGGGTCCCACAGAATAGCACAGGGAGAGGAAGGAGGAGCCTCTGGCCATTGACCAGGGAAGGCTTGAGGGTGTAGGTTGGATTTGAGTTGGGCCTTGGTGGTCGGGAAGGATCTAGGTTGGACCTGAAGGAGAATAAACAGATTGCAGTGCAGAAGAGCTGGTGGGGGCAGAACCCAGTGGGAGCAGAACCTGAGGGTAGGAACATGCCCCTATGACCCATTCTTCTGGCCTCCCTCTGGGCCCTCACCTAGCAACTACCTTTGCTGTTCCTATCACTCTGCAGTGGGGCCATTCCTTGGGCTGTATCATCTTTCTTTGGGGGGGATACCTAGGATTGAACTCAGGAGCACTCAACCACTGAGCCACATCTCCAGTCCTATTTTGTATTTTATTTAGAGATAGGGTCTCGCTGAGTTGCTTAGCACCTTGCTTTTCCTGAGGCTGGCTTTGAACTCATGATCCTCCTGCCTCAGCCTCTCAAGCTGCTGGGATTACAGGCCTGCCCTACCATGCCCAGAGGGCTGTACCATCTTATAATGAGGGTCATCATTAATATTATCACAACTATGGAGCACTTATTGTATACCACTTGACTGAAATCAACTCATTTAGTCCTCTCAACCCTAGGAGGTATAGGTCCTAGTATTCTCATTTTACGGATAAGAAAACTGAGGCACAAAGAACCTGTTATTTGTCCCAATGAGGGAACTGTGATTCAATCTCAGTTTGGCTCAAGCAGTTGCCCTTTTAATCTCTATATCATATTATATCCAGAGATCTAAACATCTAATCTCTCACATAAAGTTATAACATTGCTGTCCCCATTCCTAACTCTGAATGCTCTGTCATCTTCCGCATAAGGGACCAGTGGTGGAAAGCTAAATCCACCTCCAGCACCTCCTGCAAGATCACCCACCACAGAGCTTTCAAGCAAGAGCCAGCAGAACCCTGCCTGGACCCCCACCCAGCAGCCCGGAGGTCAGCTACGGAATGGAAGCATGCACATCACCGGTAAGCAGGTGCACACCTGAGGGGCTGGTGCCAGTGAGGAAGTGATTTCCCCTGGCCCCTGGAGAGAGCTTATGTGCTTCCCAGTGAACTGTGGGCTCACACAGATACAGGACAGCCTACAGGGCCTGTGAAATAGGGTTTCTTTTACCACTTTCACTATAGTTCCAGGGCCTACTCTTAGACTTCTGACTCAGATTAGAGAACAGAAAGAAAACCAGCATTTGAATTCTCTCTTTCTGTGTATGTCTATCTCTCTCTGTGGAGACTGAGAGACCAGAGTGCCAGAGAGACCAGAATGATTTGGATAAGGGCAAGGAGTGGGTGGAAGGCCCATGAGGTAGGGGGACAATTGGAGCAAAACTATGGAAGTAGGAAGTTAAAGGCACCTGGAGTTGGATGTGACTGCAACACCTCTGCCCCCCTTCTGTGTGCTAGGCTATGGTCAGATATAAGACCCAGCTCAAAAGGCAGGAGTCAGCCCAGGAAAGGGAGACATGACCACTCCTCTTCTCTCCCCAGGAGCTCACTTCTGCCCCCTTAGGAGCTTCCTTAAGATGTTGGTTGGAGTAGTTTGGTGGGTGATGGGAAATCACTGCTGATCTCACTCTACTTCCCCTCCTCCCAGCTAAGCAGTAAAACTTGAAAGGTGGATGGATGTCTTGGGGGGAATAGCCCTTCTGTCAACACCTTTGCACAGAGCAAGCAAGCAGAACACAGTGCATTTGCTTAGAGTGACGTGTGTTCTCCTGGAGCGATCCAACGTGGGGCCTGCCAGTAACCCAACTAAACTGTACCATTTCCCACATGTGCAGATGACTTCGAGTCTAAATTCACGTTCCATTCTGTGGAAGACTTCCCCCCTCCGGATGAATACAAACCATGCCAGAAGATTTACCCTAGCAAGGTCCCCCGAAGTAAGTACTACCTTGACAAGACTTCTGGCTTTTCCTGACACTCCTAAAGTAGGTGCTCAGTGTGTATTGATTGACCAGAGTCTGCCTGCAGGGTGACATCATGATTTTACTGTTCTGCTGCAAGGATACAGTGTGTTCATACTTAAGTTTCAGAATATGTATTTGTCCTTGCATATAAGAGTTCACTTGGAGATTTTGTTTTTGTTTTTTGCACAACACCAGGGTTAACAGGCATCAGATTTGGATACCTAAATTTACCACATATCCCTCTCCTCCTGGGACTTTTTTTTTTTTTTTAGTTGTCAGTGGACCTTTATTTTATTTACTTATATGTGGTGCTAAGGATCAAACCCAGGGCCTCACACATGCTAGACAAGTGCTGTCTACCACTGAGCCACAACCCAGTCCCTGGGACTTTTGACTAGGAAGCTAAATGCCCCCAAACAACACTGAAATGGGATACAGAGACTTTACATGAATGTCTGGGAAAGAAATAGAATTCCCCCCAATTCAGAATTCTGACAAATCAGGCAGTGGAAAATATCCTTATGCCAATGGTTCTCAACCATGGCTGGCTACCCACTGGAATGACCTAGGAGCTTTTAAAAGACCTGAACTCCAGGCTGCCTCTTATCAAAATATCCAGGTGGGACCCAGATGTCACTATTTTTGAGAGCTGCCAGGTGATTCTGGTGTACAGTCTAGGTTGAGACTTAGCCAGCCTCCTGCTGACTGAACAGTGTGGTCAGGCTCCAAGAGAGGCTTTAACTCAGCTCACCTGTTCATCCCTGAGAAGAGAGGAGGAGACTGAGGCTGAAATAACAGGGAAGTGAGAGAAAAGTGAGGGTGGGGTACTACCGCACTATGGCTGCTCACTGGTTAAATTGAGCCAATTCTTGTGCAGTGCTGAGCCAGCCGGACTGGACAAGGGGTAGTCGAAGGCAGCAGATTCAACAGTATGGGGTGAGAGTTGGATGTGTTCCTACCCTATTGCCTAAGTAAGGACCCCGTCGCACTCACCTGAGCACCCTAATGAAAAGTCATCAGAGTCCAAGGCTAGCTTGAGACCAGGAATTGGGGACCAGGTTCAGTGGCCCTGTCCTCTCAGAGGGGCCTTGGTGAGGTCCCTTCTGCAGAGGAGCAGAGGTGCTCAGCCTGCTCTGGTCAGGGCAGAGGGCTCTCAGCACCAGCCTGGGTAGAGTTCCCTCTTCTGGCTGTCGGACTGCCTGTCAGAGAGAGGGGCCTTGCGTCCTCTTTTAATCACATGTAAATACCATTTTTCTGACTTGAGAGAAAGGGAGTGGATTGTTATAAAGGCAGATGGGGGAGAAATCACATCCATTTAGCTTTTAAAAAGACTGAAGAGCCAGCAGTTGGAGGAGGCAGGTGCTGCGCGGGTCTCACGTTCCTGCTCAGTTCAGCAAATGTGTGCACACTGCCCTTGCACAGCAGGCACCCTGCAGGCACCAGAGGCTGCAGAGTAAGAAGCAAGGTCCCCACACCACCCTCTGCCATGCACACTCCTGAGAGATGAGTGAGAAGTTAACCGCCATACATGACAGTGTCTTAATGACTTGAGTGTTAGGGGCATTGAGGGGAAGGAGTAGAAGGTGGGGTCACAGTGGCCTAGAGAGAGGGCACTCTTTGCACATGCCCAGGAGAGAGCATGATAGCATGGTGCATTTAGGAACCATAAGTCCCCCATGGTACTTTAGGCATAAGGTGCCTGATTGAGTCAGGCTACCATAAGTTGGGGAGTGTCACTAAATAACACCCTTTTCTCATCTTATGAAATAAGCACAATAATCTTGTGAAATAAGATATAAGTATGAAGACTTAGGGGTCCCCGTTCTCATTGGGCATGACTTAGGAAGTCAGCAATGGCAGACTTCATACAGCCCATGGTGCCTGAGAATTGGACAGCTACCTCAGCCCCACTCAGCCTGCCCAGCAGGGAGGGCACAGCTGGCAGTCTGTGCTCTATGCCTCATCGCAAGAGAAATGTTTGCCTCAGTGCCCACCTCAAAAGTAATCCCCTGCTGCTCAGAAAGGAACAGAAAAAAAAAATGTCTGCTAAATGAACTAACATCTTACAGACAAGAAAGGGAAATTGCAATTTCAAAAATAAGGTAACTATTTTCGATTGACGTGGCATCAGTGGACATGAAATACTTTGGGAGATTCCCTCAAAATTAAATGAGCATATTCTTGCCATCCTTGTGAATCACAGGGGAGAGCCTTGTTAATGATGTTAGTGTGATCACATTTCTCCGTGCAGTTTTCCTCTCCTCGCTATTGAACTGGTTCCCCAAGATATCGGAGTCTTCATGGTCCAGGAGTCAGTGTTGTTTCTGTGAGACACATGGGTTCTCATGCTCAGGGGTGGCAGTGCTCACTTTGTCTCATCCTGCTTGTTTTCTCTCCCCTTCCTTCTAGAGCGCATGCATGCTAAAGTACACACATACCACAGTACACAAATGCCCTAATATTTAGCTTTTCCAATGGATGTATTCACTGTCTCTGCTCTGCCGTTAATGGCTATTTTTTCCCCATTGGTAAGATGTTTTTGTCTAGTTATTTAAATATTTTAGTGATGCATTAGGTTCTTCAATGATTTAAATATAAAACATATCACCTGTGTTAGTCGCTTTTCCTTTACTGTAATACAATAACCAAGATAATCAATTAAAGAGAGAAAAGACTATTTGGCTTACAATTTCAGAGGTTTCAGTCCATGGTCGACTGGCCCAGTGCTTTTTGGTTTGTGGTAAGGCAGTATCTTATGCAGATGGTGAAGCAAAGCTTGGGGCAGCCAAGGATCAAAAGAGAGAAAGAGACTAGGGTCCATAGTCCCCTTTAAGGACACACCCCCATGACCTAAGACTTCCCACTAGATTCCACCCCTTAAAGGTCTCCACCAAACCACAGAGCGCCACAGGCCGAGGACCAAGCCTTGAAGACATGGGCCTTTGGGGGACTTTCCAGATCCAACCTATAGCATGACCCATCAATTCCTCTCCTGGGTATAGACCCAAAAGAATTTTAAGCTAGTCTTCAAACAAAGCACTACACTATGAATGCTGTGCAGAAACATTCATAGCAGCATGATTTACAATCACCAAAAAGTGGAAATGACTGATGAATTGATGGACAATGCATGATCATCCTATAATGAGATATGATTCAGCAATAAAAAGGAATGAAGTACTGAGACATGCTAGGGCATGAATGATGCTTGAAAACATTATGCTAAGTTAAAGAAACCAAATAGGACAGCCACAATTGTAGGATCCCATTTATATGAAATGTCCAAAATAGGCAAATCCATAGTCAGAAAGTTAGATTAGGCATTTCAGGGACTGAGGGTTGGAAAATGGGGAGTGACGGCTAATGGGTATGGAGTTTCCTTTTGAGGTGGTGAAGATGTTTCAAACTCCAGGATACTTTTCATCTTGTAAAACTGAAATTCTACACCCATGGATTAATAACTCCATGTTTCCCTCTCCCCCCAGCCCCCTGGCCCCTGGCAAACACCATTCTACTTTCTGTCTCTATGATTTTGAGTACACTAAGTACTTCCTATAAGCAGAACCATACACTATTTGCTTTTTGTTACAGGCTGATTTCACTTAGCATGATGTCCTCAAAGTTCATTCATGTAATTTATGTCAGAATGTCCTTCCTTTGTAATGCAGAATAATATTCCATTATATATGTATGTATACATACACACACACACATACACAAATACCACATTTTGTGTATCTATTCACTGGATGATTGGGTTCTTTCACATTTTAGCTCTTAAAAATATTTGCTGCTATGAACAGAGGTATACAAATGTCTCCTTAAGACCCTGATTGTCACAGCAAACAACTAAACCAGTTAGGGTCACTCCAGGTGAACTGGGCTGGCATGAAATAATGACACAGAAATACCTTTTTCTTTGGGTTCTATGACAGCTCTTCTGATCCAGCTCCCACAAAGGAGTTAAGGCAGGCAAGAAAGAGAAAGAGCACACCTCGAACCCAGTTTTATTGGGGAGAAGCCATTCAAATGAAGCAAGGAGTCAGGTTTCAGGGGGTCGAGTCTAGCTTCGCGATATCTCCCAGGTCAGCATGTTGACTGACATCTTGGAAGACCACACCCATCTCATGTGCTGTGAGATGATCAAAGGCAGAACAAGTGAAAGGGACACATCTGGGCACAGCCCAGACAGAGCTGCATCATCAGTCCAGTCCGCTTGTGTGTTCAAAATGCTCACAGCTCACACACACACAGCCCATGGCTGGCTTGCCATATCTCTACATTCCCATCAATCAAAACTAGGGGGCGCTCAACTCCTACGTGGCAGCTCCTGACACCTGATTCCAAATTCTCTGGGGTATATATCTCAAAGTAGAATGGCTGGGTTGTATGGTAATTTTTATTTTTAATTGGATGAGGAACCTCCATACTAGTTCCCATAGCAGCTCCACCATTTTACATTTTCACGAAAAGCACATAAGGGTTCCAGTTTTTCTCCGTCCTTATCAACCCTGATTTTTCAGTTGTAAATCTTAATTTCATTTCACAGTAGACAGTCTAGTGAGTGCAAAGTGATATCTCATTGAAGTCCAACTCCTCTTTGAAAAGAATTATTTTATGTTTAAAGTAAAACTTGGCCACCATTATTTCCAGGAGCTGTGCAACTTCTCCACTTGGCAGTACAATGACTTTAGCTGTATTGGGTGGATCATGTCACAGAAATTAAAAAGGATGAGATGTTCCAAAGCTGAGAGAATCCGTAGAAAAAGCACACCTCAGGGGGAGAGTAATTATTTCTGCCTTTGTAGTGGGCAGTTGGGCAGGACCCTCTGCCCCAGCGAGTGTTTTTTGGCTACTCCTGATACTTACTGTCAGCCATAGCCCTTCATAAACTGTCTTCCAGCCTCCTACTCCTTCACCACAACTTCTGCCTTTCCTGGGCATTTCTTTATTTCTCTGAACCTGCAAAGGTGCTTTGATGTCTGTAAAATCTGTCCCTTGATCTACTCTGTCCCTGAGCCTTCTCTGCTCCTCTTTGAGCCAGCAGTGTCTCCCTGTCTCACTTCCTCTCCTCCTGTTCTCTCTCCAGCCGAGTCCTCCCAGTCCTTCTCCCCTCCCTGCCATGACAAGAGCTGCTATCAAGGCCACCAGTGGACCTCCTCCTTGCCAAATCCCATGTTCAGAGGCATCAGGGTAGTGTACAACCCCTTCTTCCAAAGCTCTTCTCCCACTTAAGATTTCCCAACAGCTCTCCCTCTCCTTTCTACTTCCCCTGATCTCTGATGGCTCCTCCATTTTTTTTAATACCAAAAACCTCAGAATCATCTTCAACTTCTTTCTCTTCTCCCACATTCAACTTAGCAGTAAACTCTAGGGCATCTCCCAGTGAAATGCATCTAGAATGTGATCTCTCTCACCTCTTCTTCCACCCCAACCCTGGCCTAAGCATTTCTTTCCCAAATTACCCCAGGAACCTGCTAACAGGCTTCCCTGCTTCCCACTGTAGCACAAGTGATGTGTCTAAAGCCCCAGCCCAACCAAGCTGCCCTCTGCCCCAGAGCCTTCAGTAAATTCTCATCTTGCTCCAAATCAATGAGAAATTTTTATCATGGTTCATAAGACCTACATGAACTGTCCCTCTCCTCTTGAACCACTCTCCTCCCACCTTACTTGCTCTAACACCACCTCAATTTCTAGAACATTCAAAGCACAATTCTCCTCTGGGTTCTTTGCATCTGCTTTTCCTTTTGTATGAGACATTTTCCTCAGATAGCCACAGACTCATTCTCTACTTCCTCTGGATCAAATGTACCTGTCTATCAGCTCAGGCTGCCAAAACAAAATACCATAGACTGGCTGGCTTAACAGACGTATATTTTCTCACAGTCTAGAAGCTGAAAAGATTAGGTGCTGGCTGATTCAGTTTCCTGCTTTGACAGAGGAAACTCTGTCAAAGAGTTTGAGAGCCACCTTCTCACTGTACTGACATGGCAAAGAGGAAGAACCACTTTCTAGTATGAGGGCACTAATCCCATCAGGGGACCCACCCACATGACCTCATCTAACCCTGATCACCTCCCAAAAGCACATCTGCCAGTACCATCACACTGGTATTGAGATTTCTACATGTGAATTTGAGAAGGGGGGACACAGTTCAGTCCACAGCAGTACCTTATCAGACAATCCTTGACTGATGTAAAATAGTAGGTCTCTCTGGCCCATCACTTTTTATTCTCTTCACACTGTTTTTTAATGTCTTCAAGGTATTTATTGCCTGCTGACATGTGATGTGTTTGCCTGCCCCTTGTCTGTCGTCCCCCGTACAGGGTAAGACCTGAATGGCAGAGAAGGCACCAATTTTATGCACTGGCCCATCTCCAGCTCTCAGAATGGAGTGAGGCATGCACTCAGTAAATACTTGTTGAAAAAAAAAGACTCACTCATGTATACATTGCTCAACCATTTATAGAATAAAAAAATTGGAAATATCACAAATCTCCATCAATGGAGTTTAAAAAATTAAAGCAGAGCCACAAAATGGAACACCAGGAAAACATTAAAACAATGTTACCAAATATTTAGCACATTGAGAAAACATCAACACCATCTTGAATGAAATAAAATAATACCAAAAAAGTACACAAAAAATAGATACGATCTATTTTTGTTGTTGTTGTTCCGGGATTAAACCCAAGGATGCTTAAACCCAAGGATGCTTAACCACTGAACCACATCCCCAGCCCTTTTTTTTTTTTTTTAATTTTGAGACAGGGTCTCTCTGAGTTGCTTAGGGCCTCCCTAAATTGCTGTGGCTTTGAACTTGGGATCCTCCTGCCTCAGCCTCCCGAACTACTGGGATTACCATTGTGGGGCTCTGCATCCTGCTTATGATTTAAATTTAAAAAAATAAAATAAAATAAAAGTAACTTGTGTGTTGATGGAGAAAAAGAGAATTTGATCAAATAGAGGAAGAGACTAGAAATACACTAAAATATGAAGTGATTGTCACTCAGTGCTTGTCTGTGTTGTCTAAATTCTTTTGATAAATGAATACTGCTTTCAGTAATCATTGAAACTTTTAGATTGCAAATTTTGGGGAGAGAGAAGAAGATTAGCCCACCCACAGGTCCATCTACCTGTGCAGGAAGGGAGGCATGTGGCATGTAGGGTGACCGCTCTTAGCTTAGGCTTAGTCCAGAGGAGATGTGCTCAAAGGGATGACGAGTCTCCTGGGCCCACCAGTTCTATGATAGCAGTGACAGTAGGGAAGGAGAGAAAAGGCCAGATGGAAGGTTTAGATCCAATGGAACCTGTCATTCCCTTCACTTAAAGATTACGAGAAGGCCCTTTGGTGCCATCTGGCTTCATGTACAGCTGGAGAAACCAAGGCAGAGTACAGAGGCCTGCCTCTGCTGCCTGTGGTCAGGGCTAGTTCAGATCTCTGCTCCACGACCAGAGTGATCTTTGCATCTGGGCACGCTGCCTCCTCACTTTCCTGCCATGGTAGACTGAGGTTGGGCAGACCGTTGGCCCTGCACTGATGGTTAGGTCTGCTCCTCATAGGAGTCTGCCTTTCCTGAGCCCACCTTCCCAGCTCCCAGGAATTGCACTCCAAGGCTGGCAGAAGAGTCTCCAGGAGGCCCTGCCTTAATGGCCAGCCAAATTTCTAAATCCTTTCTGGACACTCTCCAAGTCCTACATATCTATTCTCATGTCACTTGGTTACAGAATGAATTTTTTTCCCCCTAATATGAAAATGTGGCTATGGCTGGAGAAAGATACAAGGCGAGTTTTGGTTTGCACATGAAGGAAAAAAAGGCTAAAAGCCAGCTTGGCCCTGGGTCCTGCTCCGTCAGCCCCAGCACAGACATTCCTCTTTTAACCTCACAGTGCAGAGGAGTGTGCACCACGACTGCTGCTCCCAGTGTTCCTCAGGGCCACAGCTGCATTCGCAGGGAAGCAGAGCCCTCGGTTTGCAGGAGATCGCAGCAAAGGCAGCAGCCTTCACTCTTTGGGCTCTGCCAGTGCAGTAGGGGCTGGATGGAGATGGGGAAGAGATGTAAAAAGATTTTTACTCTGAGCTCCAGTACCAAAAGTTTGAAAACTGTAGTTTGGATGAATATGAAATACCTTTCCATGGGGAATAGCCGATGTAATGGACGGTTTCCGTAGAACGGCCCCACTTGATGAATTCCAGAAGGTTCTAGTGACATTTTATAAGGGGAAATCCCTTCAAAGCCATTTTTAAATCCAAAGCACTCTGTCTAACCCTGACGTTGTCTCTGCCACTCACTTCTGGCACCAGTGAAATTTCTCTTGCACTAAGGCCGGAGTTGTCTTTTCTATTTTATGGAGAACTCACTGATTCTCCTTTAACCTCTCTGCTCTTGTTTCCAGGCATCTGTATCAAAACTAGGGAGAACTGTTTACCTGGGGAAGCCTGTTTTATTACCTAATGCTCTTCAAATGGGGAGATGTTGGCCCCCAGGGACCAGTCAGCCATGTATAGAGTCAGGTTTGAGTTTACAATTGGGCATGGGCCTGGGGCAGGAGTGTGACTGGCACCTAGTAACAGAGAGACCAGTTCTGCTGTTAAATGTCCTGCAGCACAGAGGACGGCCTCACCACAAAGAATCATAGAGCCCAAAATGTTAATAAAGCCTGGATTGTGAAACCCAGACCTAGAAGATTTTTCTGTAGTGGACAGGAGTTCCTGAGATTTAAAAATAGTCATTCCCAAGGCTATCTTCTCACAGGGAATCAGATCAGGGGCTGTCAGTGCCTTTTTACTTTTACTCAAACTGGCTCAAAAAATCTGAGATTCCCTGCATCATTTGCTCCAAAATATCTTTATTCTAGACCCAGTGCACTCATTAATTTTAAAAAAATGTTTTAATGAAAGTTACAGTACCCATTTATTAATGTTTTGTTAAGTTTCAGAGACCCTTCTGAGTGATAGTTCATTTTTAAAACTGTACCATACAGAGTTGTCCCAATGGTTAATATATGCTCATGGTAGAAAACTTCAGAAGTATTTACTCACAGGAATTTTAAAAAATAATAATTCTACTCAAGAGGAAACATTTCCATTTATTAATTGTGTTTTTAGTGAATTTTAAAAATAATCGAGACTGTTCTATTTTATACAATTTAGTTCCTCCAAATCAATACTTTGTAAAAAGACAGCTGCTTCGTACTCCATTATATGATACTGAACTCTAGATTACCTAGAACCTTTGATTGAACACAGGTTATTATCAGTTTTTCAATATCATAAATAATTCGTGATCATTGTTTCTTTATTACATGCTGTTTTTTAAGTAGCACAGCAACCTGGACTCTCCTGGGCTCTGGGTCTAACTGACCCTGGCATGGTGCCTGGTACACTGTAGATGGGTGTAGCTGAAGGTTGTGGTGAGCCATGAGTCAGGAAGCGCTAACAAGCTTAAAGATGATGGGCCTCACGAGATGCTGTCCTTGCAGCATGGACACGAGGACCCTGTGTCTGTGGTCTGTGGCTTTGAGGGTGGGGCGGAAGCCCAGTCCAGGGCCAGGAGCCCAGTGGTCTCAGGTTTCCAGGCTCACCTTGCCCTGGGTTCCTTTGCTGGTGTGGAAGTGCTGGCTGAGCGGGTTTCTTGGTGGAGTGGGCCCAACCTTCCCCGGTCCAATCAATGATGAGATCTTCCTTGTTTCTCTCAGGTCACACACCTGGTCCCTGGCTCCAGACCGAGGCAGCTGGACAGAGCCCAGATGACATCAAAGGCAGAAATGCTCAGGTAACATAGCCCTCAAGGAGATTCTCCTGGGGAGCCTTCCTCAGACTCGTTTTCTTTGTAGAAAGCCATTTTGGCATGGCTTTGTTTCAAGCCAGAATGGAACACTTAGAATTCAAGAGCTGAAGCATGGAAGGGGCCCCCAGAATCACTACCACATGCAGAAGCAAGTTGAGCCACTCAGAACCCCCTTTGGACTCATTCTGCTGTCATCACCCCAGTCCCTGCCTATTCTTCCCTGAGTAGGATAGTTTGAGAAGCCTGTGAGAAAAACCCTGTAGCATTTATAAAATCTAATTCAGTGTTCTCTCTCACCTGTAGAATACGTGGCTCCTTTTGGTGCCCTTAGAGCATTTTCCTCCATTAATATTATAATTGATTTTGGCCAGATTGACTCACAAGCCAAGTCCTTTGGCTATAGGAAATTGACAAGGCCAGGAGGAAGACCACAGGGGTGCTTTTGTGCTAAGACAGTCTTGGAAGAAATGTCCTTGCTCTCACCCCATGCAACTTAGAAGTGTCTTCTAACCTGGGCAGAGGTGACATCTCTCACTGTACAAAATGAAGTCTCAGGTTTAAAAGTCCTTTGTTTCTTTGAAAACATGTACAGTCCTACTCTGGCCTCATCCTGTTTCAGGGTTCTGTGTGATAGACAACGGGCTGGCTTGCTGGTACACTGGGCCACCCCACAGCGGGATGGAATGTGAAGGAAAGTGACCTAAGAAGGAAGGGCCTCGATTCCTAAAAGCCAGGGTAGTCCCTGGGACAGGCGATAGGTACTTCCTCTGGCAAACAAGCATTTCCCTTCTCTAACCTCAGCTAACCCAAGAATAGCAATATCCATTCTCAGGTTCAAAACAGGTATACAACTGTAGTTAAAGAAGCATATGCACATAAAAAAGAAAGAAGAGAGGAAGAATATGCACAGAATTGTTACTAGGTGGAGGGGATTCTGAGAGGATGATAGGATAAGACACACCAGGAATCTGTCTCCCCACCTGAACAACAATTGCACTGGCAAAACCCATCTGATGGATTTTGAATGGAACTCTGTGTAGAACTCTGGGGTCTACTGAAGGCTTGCAAGATCCAGGGAATGCTTGGAGAATAAATCAGAATTGATTTTTAGACGATTTCAGCTGGTAACAGTAGCTGCTGAGCATCCCCCACCCCAGCCAGCCCCATGGCAGGCAGCTATGCATGTGTTCTTGGAGTAACTTGCACACAGTTTGGGGGAGCCAAGAAGGGCAAAGGAAAAAAAATACCCCCATCCTCCACACGTTGGGGATCTGGGCTTTAATTGCCCACTGCTGCTTCTGAAAACATGGGTGCAGGTAAAGAGGTAGCGTCTCCCCTGCACCTCTTCCCACTACTGCAGGTCTCTCTCCTTTTGGCTGAAGCAACTTCCAGGAGAATTTTTTTTCTTCCCTTCATTTTACTGTTTCTACTTTTGGAAGCCAAACGTTAAAGACCAAGCTGTTTGAAAGCAACTTCATATGTGGGGGAAATTAGGAAGTAACCACGTATGTTCAAGGGAAAAGGCATAGGCTCCAGAAAGATCTGAGAAGTCCTTAAATTTACACCTCAAGCTGATTCTTGGCACAGAGATAACATACAAAAAATAAGATAAAAATAGAATAGAATAAAATTAAAATGATAACAAATACTTCTAGCAAATTCTGGGGAAGGAAGAGGATCTGCTTTCTAGTGTTATGGCATTGTTTGATTCGGATATCATTCCCAACAACAAAAAAGAAAATCACAAATTACACAAAGAAGTAGAAGAGTGAAGACCATTCAACAACAACATCAACAATAGTATCTTTGAAAAAGGGTTGATGGCAGATCTATTAGACAAAGAGTTTAAAACAGCAGTCTTAAAAATGTTCATGCTGGGCATGGTGGCACATCCCTGTAATCCCAACAACTTGGGAGGCCAAGATGGGAGGATAGCAAGTTCAAAGCCAGCCTCAGCAACTTAGTGATGCTCTAAGCAGCTTAGTGAGAACCTGTCTCAAAACAAAAAAATTTAAAAAGGGTTGGGGATGTAGCTCAGTGGTAAAATGCCCCTAGATTCAATCCCCCCTACAGAAAGTAAGTAAATAAATAAATTAATGGCAACTCTCCTTTTTTTAATAGTAGATGGACACAATACCTTTATTTTATTTTTATGTGGTGCTGAGGATAGAACCCAGTGCCTCACACATACTAGGCAAGTGCTCTACCAACTTAGCTAGAGCCCCAGCCCAAAAGGCAACTATCTTAAAGTTGCTCAAAAAAGTAATGGAAGATGTGGATGAATTCAAGCAAATGATGTATGAACAAAATGGAAATATCAGTAAAGAGAAAGAAAACAAAGAAATTCTGAAGCTGAAAAATACAACTGAAATGAAAAATTCATTAGAGAAAATGAAAGGCAGACTTGAGCCAGCAGAAAAACAGAATCAGTGAACTAGAAGAAAGGACAGTCAAAATTATTAAGTCTGAAGACCAGAAGGAAAAAACATTTAAAAGTGAACAGAGCCTGTCAGAGCTATGGGACACCATCAGGTGTTTCCAGGGAGACGAGAGGGGCATAGAAGAATGTTTGAAGAAATAACAGCTGAAACTTTACAAATTTGATTAGAGGCACGAGTAAAAACATCCAAAAAGCTCAGTAAACTCTAAGTAAGATGAATACAAAGAGACTAACATCAAGGCACGCTATAATAAAACTTCTGAAGAATAGAGGATCTCAAAAGCAACAAGAGAATCGATTTGTCACATACCAGGTATCCTCAGGAAGGTTATTGGCAGATTTCTCATCAGAACTTTGGAGAGGACAAGGTGGTAAGCTAATATATTGAAAGTATTAAAAAGAAAAAAAAAAACCTGTCAACTGAGAATCCTATATTTGGCAAAACTGTCCTTTAGAAGTGAGGAAGAAATTAAGACATTCACATATAACAAAAGCTGAGGGAGTCTGTTCTCCCTCGCCTGCCCCGTGTCTCTGGCTTTCAAGAATCTCATGCCTTCCATCTTAGATCACCTTCCTGCACATTCCATGCAGCCCTGCAAAATGGTCCAGTGTAGACCCTGGACCATTTTACTTTCTTCCTAGTATACTTCTGTAATTTCTACAAGGAATATATTGCTCTTGTGATCAGCAAAATAGAATCATCATCATAATTATAGTCTCATATATTGATATAGCTCTTTACAGTTTTTAGTTGATTTGTATATGTTATCTCATTTGATCCTTTTAATAACCCTGTGATCAAACTGGAGAGAAACTTTTAATGCCATTTTTTTTTCGGTGCTGGGGATTAAACCCAGGGACTCACATATGCTAAGCAAGTGCCTGACCACTGAGCTACACTCCCAGCCCCAATGTCATTTATACAAAAGAGAAAACTAGGCTCCAGAGGCTGATGGGTTTGTCGAAGGTCACATGCCCAGACCTTCTGAGCTTCCTCTGGTGCTCCTAACACTGCTCTTCCTGGTGTGTTAGAAGAGCCTTCCTCACCATCAATGGGGCAAAGCTAGGTGGGACATTATGCAGCATCTGGTCTCCAGCCTCATGATGGGCACAAACCTAAATCACCCCAGACTTGTCTCTGCCCATGACAATCCAGTCAAGGATGGATTAAAAGTCTCTTTGGACATCCCACCAAGATCTCTGGAGATCATTTTCAATCATTTTCACTGCAGTGAGACACAAAGCAGCACCCAGAGAAACCAGTGGGCTCTGGCCAGCACATAGTGCCCGGGGAGTGCTCTCTCCTGCATGGATGCTGGGCTGGAAGTCTGAGGGTCTGACTTCCTTTCCCCCTTTTCCCTTGCCCTGACCTGGTATCTCCAGCATGTTCTTGGCTTTTCCTGAACTTCCTGCACAGTCAACTGCTGGTTCTTGGTCTCTTTTAAATGTTCATAAGTCAGAATTTTAGGTTGCCACACATCAACTTCATGCCCCATCTGGTTTGCCACCATGACCCCTTGGGTTAAAAAACCTCTCCTTACACATGATAGGACCATTTCCCAGCCTTGGTGGTCCTGTGTGAATGAGGAAAAGCTGTGTTTCCCACCCTTGGGTTCAGTGATTCTTCTAACCTCACCTGATAATCTTCTGTCATGTTCCCGCAGTTATCTCTAAAGACACTCCGGTGAGAAGACGGATGAAGCCAAGGTCCAGGGGTTCCATGTCACAGGATGAACATGTCAGGCCCCACCATACTCAAGCTGTATTCAGTCGACATACAGGCTCTGAAAGGAGCACTTATTTATTGTAAATACGTGGTTTGCACGGGCTTTAAAGCAACATTTTAGTCCACTTTGAGTTATTTCAGTAATATTTTTAAAGACAACCACCATTTCTCCATTATTTAAAATGTATCTTGGCATTTGTCTGTACATACAGAGCCCTGCCCCACTCCATTGTGTCTATCCTGTGACTGTACATATGCTTGCGGGCTGGCCCTTCCTAGATTCTGAACCATTTTTAGAGCATCCTTAGTTTGTAGGTGGTCCCAAAGTCCTAAGTAGTCACAAAAGCTTCTTATTGGCATGACTTTATATTCTCATTGCACCAACTGCAAAATCAAACCAAATAATGCCTTATAAACGATGCAGCTCAGAGGAAGTAGTGTGTGCCCATACCCCGACGGTGCCGCGCAGCCTCCGGGGAGTGAGATGTCACGTCTCACTTCCATTTTGCAGTACAGGGATGTCTTTTTGCTGCCTAATGTAAATATACTGCAGTGTAAAGGCAGGAGTGGGCTCAGCCCCTCCAGTGCCTTCCACAGGGCCCTTTTGTAACTGAATTATCCTACAAGTAGCCAATGCTCTTACTGTTTACAGTGCTCCTAGTGCCCATGTCTCCGTCACTTCCCTCCTGTCCCTCCAAGTTCCCAGCCCCATCCTGGTAGTCCAGGTGAGGTCACCTTTATGAGATTTTGGTATTTTTTTTTCCTTTAGGAAAAAACATACACTAATTCTGATTATCATGAACTGCTAATTCTATCCCAGAAGTCTCCCAGTCTCCCAAAGAGGTTGCAAAGATTTCCATGGAATATATGAGAAACGTGTAAAACAAAATGTCTGAAGAAATATATGCCTCAAATATCTGGCCACCGCCCCACCCTGAGAATCTGGGAACCACCCATAGGCCACACTCAGCCCCCTTCCCAGCTGAGGGAAGATGTCACAGGTCCACAGCTTCCCCTTCCCCTGTAATGGGCACCTGGGGGCGGGTGCACATTCAGCTCCCTGATGATGCAGAGTCCAGCTGGGCTGGAGCTGCCCTTTACCTTTCCTTGAGCCAGCAAGGGCATGGAAGTGGACAGGGAACGCTGACACAGATAAAGGAGAGAGACTAGGAGGAAACAGACTGAGATCCCTGAGGAAATCGGAGAGGGAGAAGAGGAGGATAGCAGAAGTTTGCTTTGGAACAACCCACTCATGCCCTTGAACCTTGAGGATGCGGGATAGTGAGCCACAGTGAGCTGGGTTTGGCCAAAGTGACTGCAGACCCCTCGCTGTGGTCTGGAGCCGATCAAGCTGGTGTCTTGCATCGGTGTGTGCTTGCTCATTCCAGGTGGGAGAAACTGAGTCAGCGTCAAGTATGCATCTCTGGGGCACAACTCAGGCCAAATTGTAACAGCTAAAATCAGTGGGAAAGAAGTTTTCGCAGGCCTTTTGCATTATTGATTTATTGTATTGGTTCTGGAAGTTTTCCAAGAAGTCTAGGATTTCATTTGGGGGACAGTATCCACTCTGCCTTCCTTCCGGTTGCATAAAATATTTACAAGAGCTTTAATTTGCATAATGGAGAAGGCTCTAGACACAGGCAGTTCCACTTTGGAGTTTACTGCTGGCCCTGGTGAGGCGTTCAGAAGTTCTGCTGGGATAGAAAATTTATAATAAAACCATTCAAGAACAGAGGGAAGGAAGGAGCAGAAACCAAAAAATGGCCAATAGGGAGCAACCTCAGGAATCCGGCATCACGTGTGTCCTCGAGACCTGTCACTGAACGCACACCCTCCAAGCTCGGGCAGTGTACAGGCTGAGCCCCTTGACCGTGGACTCATCAGAGAGGCGTCCCTGCCACCTCCCACATCCTCACTGACCCTGTTGTCTGTGACTCTCCCCCTGTTTCACCTGTATTTTATATTTATTGATGCCTTCCTCTGCAGATTCATTTCTTTGTACCTAATAAACTAACTTTAATAAGTGGAAATGCTTCTGAGGTCATTTCCTAGTGAAAACCCATCTATGGTCACCAGTACTGATCTAAGCCAATTTTTTAATGGTAACATATTTATGAGATACTGTGTGATATTTTGAACGTACGACGTATAATGATCAAATTTGAGTACCAAGGTCAAACATTTTGGGGGGGGGCACCAGGGATTGAACTCAGGAGCAGTCAACCACTAAGCCACATCCCCAGCCCTATTTTATATTTTAAGACAGGGCCTCACTGAGTTGCTTAGCTTTTGCTGAGGCTGGCTTTGAACTTGCAACCCTCCTACCCCAACCTCCCAAGTCGCTGGGATTACAGGCATGCACCACCGTGCCTGGGAAAGCCAAGGATTAGAAATTTAAGGATCGGAAGGGCTTCTGAGAAGGCCACAACAAAATGGATGTTTACATGGACCCTGTGCTTGCTATAACATACAGTGATGGAAACAGAGCCTTTCTTCTTTGAGCCAATTTACTGACTGTTTGGTTAAACCAAGCCTAAGGTTTGGGGGGTTCTTTTCAGGTATGTTTTTTAAAGTAGCTAAAATTAGCCAAGTGTGGTGGTACACACCTGTAATCCCAGCAACTGGGGAGGCTGAGGCAGAAGGATCCCAAGTTCAAGGCCAGCCTCAGCAACTTAGTGAGGCTTTAAGCAACTCAGCAAGATCCTGTCTCAAAATTAAAAAACAGAAAGACTGGGGATGTAGCTCAGTGGTCAAGTGCTCCTGGGTTAAATCCCCAGTACCTAATAATAATAATAATAATAATAATAAAGCAGATAACTATATTTATTCAGTTTTATTAATATAGAATGGGCAGAGTGTATTGTTCATAAATTCTGCTAAATTGTGTTAAAATGGAAAAAAACTTTCAGCCTAAAATGCACTTGGACCCCCACTTCCTTAATTCAGCAAACCTCTCCAAAGAGCCTCCTGTGTGAAGCAAAACCATCTCCGACTCCATTAAGAGTGTTTTAGGTAGACTCTGAATCCTGCTCTGGGGGAGATGTGGCTTATCTGCTAGGTGAGCTGGCTCAGGATGAGAGCTTAGAAAACACACACAGATTTGAGTCTCTATCATCTTGTATGAGTTTGGGAAAGTAAATTACTTGGCCTGTGCTTTAGTTGCACTACATGGATGTGTACCTGGGCATATAGAGATGAAGTTACATGAGCAGGCCCTGACCCTTCGGTCACTTCAGTCAGGCAAGGGCACACCCCTCCCTCTGAGGAGCCACCAGTTTGCGTATTTCATGCTCAGTCACAAACAGGGCTCTGCTGGCTGCATCCCAGTTGCTCCCTTTTGTCACTGGCTGAGCTGCTGGGACCACGCTTCGCTAGCTGTGCTGTGGGATAACAAAGCAGGAGGGGTAATTAAAATTCATAGACGTTCCAAAAATAAATCTCATCTAGAAAATAATTTGAAAGCTAGCTACTACATGCTTCGCATCCTAATGAGTTAAGAAGCTGACTTTTTTTTTTCCTGCTGCCATATTGGTGGAGGTACCAATAAGCTCTTTAGTGGCCAAAAAAGGCCAGTCTGAGTGGGGAAGAAGAGCAAGGGCCCAGGATAATCTACAAAGCAGGTGATGAATTCTAAAGTCCAGGCAGGTGGTAAAGGAGCTGAGCTGTACGTTGAAGGACCTTCACACTGAGGCACTTCTTAGGAAATTAAGAATGGGAGAGGTGAGAGGAACAACTTCATGAGAAGAGCTGTAGATTCCAGAAGCTCTTCCAGGAGTTCCAGAATTTCCAGGAGTTCCAGAATTTCTAGGAGTTCTAGAATCTCAGACTGTGCCCCAAAAGGTTTGGCATCCTTCATGAACCCATTCTGTTATGGGTTGAATTATGTCCCCCACAAAATTCATATATAGAAGTCCTTACCTCCAGTATATCTCAGGATGGTACCTTATTTGGAAATAGGATCACTAAAGATATAATTATTTTCAATGAAGTCATACTGAAATGGGCCCTAAGTTCAATATGACTGGTTTTCTTATAAAAAGGGAAAATTGGACATTGCCATGTGCACAGGGATAATGTGGTATAAGAGGAAAGCAGAGGTTGGGATGATGCTAAAGATTTCCAGCAAAGCACCAGAAGCTGGTCAGGAGACATGGAACAGATTGCCTCTCATAGTCCTCAGATGGAACCAACCCCACAGACACTATGATCTTGCACATCACATCTAGGCTCCAAAGTCATGGAACAATAAATTTCTCCTGCTTTTACCATCCAGTCAGTGATACTTTGTTATAGCAACCCTACAAACTCATACCTACTCTTGGAGCTTTTCAGGAGTGTGTTACTTTAATGAAAAAAAAAATAAGCGAGAATAAAATTTAAAGCAGCAATTCCTTATGTCAATGGAGCAGTCGTCTAATCTGATCTTGACTCGGGTCACTTGTTGCAGGTGGCTTAGTCCTATTTCCTGAACAAGACAATCAATTTTGCATGCCATAAGAGCAGAGAGGACTTTTTTTCTTAAGAGACATCCTTGTGTCATGGAGCTGCTAAACCTTTAGAAGGAGGAGACTCAGCATAGATAGCATCAGCCATTCTGATGATCTAGACTCTAGACTTCCAATTCTAGTTCTTTTTTCCTTTTAAAAAAATTGTGGTTAAATACACAACATAAAATTTGCCATCTTGATTGTTTTTACTGTCCAGTGTAACTGAAGGGCATCTTCACTGTTAAGCAGCCACTACCACCACCCAACTTCGGAACTCTTCATTTTGTAGAACTTCAGCTCTGTACCCATCAAACAACAATCCTCTATTTCTCCCTCCTCCCAACCCGTGGCAACCACTCTTCCTCTTCCTATTCTAGATTTGACAACTCTAGGTACTTCACATAAACAGAATTGTACACTTCCTCCTGTAACTTGTTTATTTTACTCAACATAACGTCCTGAATGTTCATACATGTGGTGGCATGGGTCAGAATTTCCTTCTCTTTTTAAAAGCTGAAGACTATTCTATTGTATGGTGTCATGGAACATGGCTAAACCGGTCAGCATCACTCCAAGTGAATTTTGTCTGACTAAATAAAGACACAGACACAGAAAGTACTTTTTTGGGTTCAATGACCGCTCCTCAGCCACAGCTCCTACAGGAGGGGCAAGGTAGGCAAGAAAGAGGAGGAGCACTCCTGGAACTCGGGTTTTATTGGGGAGAAGCCACTCAAATGAGGCAAGGGTAGGGTTACAAGAAACAAGTGGGGTGTGATCCAACCCCATTGGGTGACACCCACTCCTGGGGAGCTGCGCCTCTCTTATCAGTGGAGGTAGGGTCCAAACGCATTGCAGTGCAATACCTGTTCAGTACCTCCTCGCTCAGGACTTAAAGGTGTGTACCTAGCTCCTGTCCAGAGCGGCTCCCTGACAGTATGCTTATACTACATTTTGTTTATCCATCCATACATCTATGGATACTTGCCTACACATTTTGGCTATTGTAAATAATGCTACTATGAACCTGTAAGTACAAATATCTCTTCTGGGTCCTGATTTGCATTCTTTTGTAAAGATACTTAGAAGTGGAATCACTGGGTCACATGGTAGCCCTTTTTTAAAACATTTTTTTAGCAACCTCCATACTGTTTTGCACAATGGATGTGCCATCTTACATTCCCATCAGTAGTCTACAAGGATTCCATTGGCTACTTTTTGTTTTAAGTTGCAATCCTGATGGATGTGACTTGATTTCTCATTGTAGTTTTGTGTTTACTTTTAAAGAATGAATTTACCCAAAGAATGGTACCTAATGCAGGAAATTTCTGAGTTGATTGGTTTTTTCTGAAGATTTCCAGCAGAAAACACATCCCCTTCCACACATTTCCTGTGTGGTGACTGACGCCAGCATTTTTTCATGAAACACAAGACAGAAGAGGCCACTGGACATTAACTTCAGTATTTTTTATTGTATGCTTGATGCATTTAGAGACAATCCCAAGGGCAAGCACTGGATAAAGGAACATCACCTGGTTTGTAGATAGTTGTACAAAAGACTGTTAAGACTACATGGTCAGTTCCCACTGCAGGAAACGAAGACTTTCTTTATTATAATTCGCTGCCAGTAGCATTTTCCAGCTAATACATTGAAACTCTCACAACATGATTGCAAACATGTATATATTGGCTCCCACAAGAATTCTGCATGTGACATTTCAAGATGTATGGTGTCAATCAGATAAAGCACATTTTGACAAAAACCTAAGGAGAGCAGCGGGGGACTTAAGACTGCGTGGAATGAAATGCCACAGCTACAGGAAGCATACAGTAGAACTGGGACAGCCAGGCATGTGACCTGCCACTCCTCCCCCTCCCAGAGAGCATGCCCAGTGAGGTGGGTCCCTTCGCTTTCTTCTCCCTGTGCTTCCTAAAGCTAAGAGCTCAGTTGAAGACCTCTCCAATAAAGGATGGGTGGGTCTCCAATCAGGAATGCAATTAGAGACCTCATGACAGACACAGGGTCCCACCTGTCTTCCCTGCTATCAGCCAGAGCTATGTGTCACCTGTAAGGAGGTGAGATGACATCTGTTAGGATGCACAGTTATTTGCTTAGTCAGCAATTACTTTTTAGACCTAATGATTCATCCAATAGTAAAGGAACTTCGTTGCTAAAATCTAAGAGGCATACACCTGCTCTGTTAGCTTGTAGAGTAGCTCCTAATAATAACATCAGGTCTTACATTACAGGGCACTAATGAATCTCCATAATTTTGATTATGTCCTTATTCTACCTAAGGTTCAAGCCACCTCCACTAGTGAAAGCACTATTATTTCTGCTTTGCTAATTTACTTTCACTGGAGTGTCTGCCCTTGATCTGAGGGCCGTCTTCACTTATGGTAAATCCCACCTAATAGACAAGACTAACTAGCTTATGATAGGTTACAGGGGAGGTGGGGGAGAGATTCTGTCCTTTATGGCCGTGACTTCTTTCTGCACAAAGCATGCACTGGCACCCCACCTTCTTAATAGATATACAAATGGTATTTAGGAAGCTATTTACACATGGTGACCTTTAAACATTAGTTTCACATTTCCTCTTGAATATTCATTTTCCCTATATAGCCTTCAGAAAAGCAATCCCTGGAAAAGAAATTATCCATGTAATAAGCATTCTTCCAAAGCAAAATCTGTTAGGAGCATTTAAAAGCAAACATTCCCCCTACAACAACCTACTCAAAATTCAACAACATATTTCTGACTGTTGTCACTAAATGTGAGTACAGCCACATCAGCAGACTGCTTGCTCTCTGTAGTCTTTCCCCACCCTTCCCAAATGCACAAAGAAACCTGAGCACTGCTATTCAGGTTTGACTGTACACAGACCCCCACCTCCATTGCCTGCTGGGAGGCACTAGGCCCACCCAGAGGGCAGGCACACCCTCTAGCGGTAAGACATCGATATTACAGCTGTGACTGATGCACAGTTGGCCCTTTCCTGCCTGCAATGTCCACAAACAGAAGTAGCTACTGTGTTTCCCACTGCACAACTGGCTGGGTAAAGACAACGAGTTGCTACGGTCATCTGTGACCTGGGCCATAGTAATAAAAGCAGGCCTTGGTGTGATTTATTTGCACTAGACTTCAGATCAAATCCTGTATTACCCTGACTATCTCAGACAGGTCAGGTCTGATAAAATGATTCCTAACCTGTGCAGGTGAGACCATGCATTGAAAGAGAGGATTTCTGCAACACCTCATTTTAAATAACCACTCCTCAGGTAGACTTTGGAAGGTAAGTACCTACATCATTCTCAAACTTCATCCTTTTCCCCCTTAGCAGCTATAGACAATTCTAGAATGGCCACTCCACCTAAGAGGAGATCCTCAACTCATCAGCAGTGAAAGCTCAGGTCAAACCTACACTACAGGCTGCCACTACTGGCTGCCATAAACTTTGTCAGCTGAAATAGTCTTCCCATCTGTACTTAGTGATTTTACATACAGAATTTACAAAACTGCTGAATAGAAAGTTCGTGGCAAATCTATGCATACACTCTTGAAGGAGAGTTGTAGAAAGAAAATATTCATTCCCATAAAATTTCTGAGGCTGGGGACAAGGCTCAGTGGTAGAGAGCATTTGAGAGTGCTTGCCTTGCATACTCAAGGCTGTGGGTTTCATCCCCAGAACAACAAACAAAAAAAAAAGGAAAAGAAAAATGTTAAAAAATCTCTGATCCTTGGCATTCTACCCACATAATGAGCAGCTGTGTCATTTTCAGCCCTCATGGGCTATGACATAGCTGCTGAGGAGTGACTACCCCTGAGCCATTTCCAAGTCTACTGATCCAATATTTCCTTTTGCTAGAATCATGTCAAGGATGATGAAGCATCATTAGACCCAAAGAGCACTCTCCCGCTAGCTGCTCTATTATCAGACACTCCTATCAGTCATCTCTGCCACTTTGCCATTGCAGGAGTTGGGAGAGAGTTCAATAGATGAAGGCAAGCCCCACCACTTCCTGCCCACTTCCACTACCAGTCTGGAAGCAGCTGCAGGGCATGAGGACTAAGGGGGAAGATCTAGGCGGTCAGCTGCTTCAGACACCCATGTGTGCGTTCTGACAGGCTGGGCAGGAGGGGTGGAGTTGGACTGTGACCCCACAGAGATGTACTCTTATATCTGTCTATCACCTTCTTGCCCTCTGAATGCCCAGTATGGAGCCCACCTGGTCTTCCTTGCCTACTTTTCTGTGATCTACTAGTGGGTCAAATCCTATGATATTGGAAGCAGATCAGCTCAACTGGAGTCTCTCTGCTGAGATAAAGTAGCGACTGCTCGAATCTCAGCAACTTCAACTGCAATCTAAACAGTCAAGATTTTTTTTTCCTTTTCTTTCCCTCATTAGCTGAGAGTCACAGTTGCATGGGGTGGGACTATGCCGCAGGGCCACTGGATGAATCCTAGATTAGATGCTGGTAACTAGACCAGGAGTTGTCCCTACACAAGGCCCCATCTACATGGTAGGTGCACTGCTCTGTAGGGATAGCAGCATGTCTTTTGGGAGACCCACTTGGCGATCCTGGGAGGTCACTGGCACGGCTCCCTGAATCTCTAAGGTGTGTAGGTTCTGGCTAACAGTGCTGCCCAGCTCTCCTGCATATGAAGCAGGGTTGGGTCCACCACACACGAGTACAGCGCATGGAAATCAGGTCCTTGGAGATCATGGACACTAGGACACAGCTGGGGCAGCTAAGAGGCCCCTTTATTCCCTCCCATTGGCTTCATTCCCCAGGGAACACCTGTGGAAACTGCAGTGCCCACAGGCATGCGCCCAGGTGAAGAGCAGCTGGGGAGGTGCCCCCTGCCCTTCCCACACACAGGAGCCTGTGTGCGCCAATAAACGCCTTTTGTTAACCTGGAAGAAATGGGTACTGAAAGACTAAGACTTCAAAAGAGCTTGCTTTTCCCACCAACTCAACACGGCGGAGCCTGTCTTTCAAGCCTCCATGAACTCTAGTCCTGCAAGAGGCTAATGTGTCCATTGTCACTGAAATACAAGAATAGCAGCTTCAGATCCACAATTTGTCACACAACTGAACGCGAGAGGCCAGAGGGATACGTGTTACATAGCAAAGGAAGGGGACCTACACGGCTGAGAAAGGGACATTTAGAGACACAAGGTAACAGTTGGATCTGGCTTCAGAAAAGGAGACCACCTGATAACTTTTCTCATTTTACTCAAACAGGAGAGTGGTTTGTTTTGCTGGTCATTTAGTCAGGTGGGAAGTTTTAAATAAGAAGGGGAAAGGGAATGCTCACTTCACTTAAAGAACTTAATCTCCGTGTCGACACAGTCATAGAAAAGGTCCCCCACCTCGGCGGGGTCTGGGGGCTCAGGGCTGCTCAGGATTTCTTCCATGGCTTCCAGGCCTTGCTTCTCCAGCTCCATCATGGTCTTCTTCAGCACGCGGCCCTGCTCCTGAGGAAGGACACGGCCTTTGCACAGTCAGCACAACAGTGGGATTGTGGCTGTGGACACTGAGCCTCGGGGGTTCCGCTGGCTTCCTGCTCACAGTCCCATCCACCCACTCTGATCTGTTCCCAAACCACTGCCACGAGGACCGTTCTAGAATGTGGCTGCTTCGGGATAAAATCCAGACTCCTGAGCGGCATTCAGGGAAGGCCCTGATGAGAAGAAAGGTCTTGTGGGCCTGACCTCTTGCCTTACCTCTTCCTCGTCTTCAGCCAGACTGAATTACCTTCTCCACCTCATGATACTTTCCCCCATTGTACAGTGACTCTCCCTTGAGCGAGTCTTTCCCTACGTCAACACTTGCGCAACTTGTGCCCATCTTCAGATCTCCTTGGAAGGCCTTCCCTCTGGACCCCCACTGGACAATGCCTCTACTTTTACCATGGTTGCCATCTTCCGTCTTGTGATGGCCTGCCCACATGGCTATGTCACCCGTTAGGTCATGATCTCCTAGGGCACAGGAATTGGACTTAATGGTGCCATCCAATGGCTGGGACATAGTAGGTGTACTGCAAAGATGTTTGCTGAATGCTCAATGAATGTTTATCTCCTGGGCACTCTTTTTAGGAGATGGTAAGAGTTCTTCCTCCAAGAGGGACTCGCTCATTTACAGTGAGTGACACTGAAGGCTTTCATTTACCCAATTAGTCCCAGAACTGAGAAGCCACTCTCCTTACTCATCCACTACTTCCTGATTCAACCCAAGAGTCATTTCTAAATTTCAAAACTCACCAATCCCATGGGCTCTTTCTACCCGTACATTCTCATTGCTTGATACCCACAAAACCAGACACCAGTAGGTGACATTTTGACTCTACCTGGGGCTTTCTGTCATCCACCTAGAAAATAAGGCCTGTCAGAAACTTTATTAACCAAGCTTCAATCATAGAAGCAGTTTGACTTTGAAAAAGTACTCTTAAAAAAAAAAAAATAGGAACTTAGCCGGGCATGGTGACACACATGTGCCTGAAATCCCAGCGGCTTGGGAGGCTGCAGCAGGAGGATCAGAGGTTCAAAGACAGCCTCAGCAATTTAGTGAAGCCCTAAGCAACTCAGTGAGATCCTGACTCTAAATTTAAAAGGGGAGGGGGACTGGGGATGTGGTTCAGTGGTTAAGTGCCCCTGGGTTCAATCCCTGGTACCAAAAAAAAAAGAAAGAAAAACTGGGAATGTGAGAATCTTTTTCTAAATGATATCGGTAGTATGGGAAAATATGCTTAACATAAAATTTGGTACATGGTGGTTGTGCAACCACCACCACCATCCATCTCCAGAGCATTTTTGGAGAATTACTTTTTGGAAATAGCATATGATTACATCTTTAAATAAAGCACTGCCAATCAATTATAGCTTCTTAGCCCTAAAAGATTGCAAAGAATTTTTAGAAAGCACTGAAGCAGGTCTCCTTTCTAGAACTGCACATCTCTATTCCTCCTAAGTCAACAGTAAATGAGAGAGAGCTTGGCCCACTGAGTTCCAGAACATGAGAAGTAAAGGCTTTGTTTTACTTGGTTTCAGGAGATTGGGTAGGAAAATGAGCACCAGCATTCTAGGAAGGCCTGTGGAACCTGGCTTCCTGGGAGGAGACTGGCCAAGAGGAGAGGAGGCTAACGGACTCCCTGACTCCTTCCTCACGGACCTCACTACCCTCCCTGGATCCTCACCCAGGCTCACCTGGTCACTCTCGATGACAGCACGTGCCCACTCGTGGGCCTTGTACAGCTCATGCCGGCGGTCTGGTTTCTCCTGGAACCGAGGCTCCTTTTTAGCAGGGTCATCGTCCCCAAAACAAGGAGACTGTGCTTTGGGAACAAGTTTTACATCATCAACAAAGATGAAAGGCTTGAATATGGACCTGGAAAGAAAGGACAGTCAGACTGAGCATAGGGCGTGAGGACACCCAGAGACTGTCTCTGTATTCAGCAATCATTTTCAGAGCCAACTCGTGGCAGGTGGAGGCGTGCCAAGAGAAACACACTGCATGTTTTAGTAACTATTTTAATAAAACTAACAGCCATTTACAAGCTGCAAATTCTTCTATTTACGGTGAGGAGACACCGAAACAGACTTTTTCTGTCCTGGAAAGAGCATCCGAGAGAACTCTTTTAAGTTGTATAAAGTGAGGCAAAAAGACACATAGTGTTCTGGGAAGAGGATGGAATGGATGGTCAATTTGAGATGAAAGGTCTGCCCCTTTCTCTCCTGGAAAGGAAGGGTCTTTTGGTTTTAAAATTCTCATTGGAAAATCTTTGTAAGATCTCTCACAGCCTCAAGGAGGGTACTGATTAAGACAGATGAAGCAGAAATTCCCAGAGACCCTAGAGGGGACACCTGCAGAGAAGCAGAAATCTGGCTGTGTGAAAGCAGGTGCTGGGCAGAGTGAGGGGCCGATGCCCCTTTATTCTTTGATCCAGCTCTTCTGGCAGGACTGATGTCTGGCAGGCAGGCATGTGTGAATATCCTTGTGCGTGGCTTGCACACATCATATCACACACACACACACACACACACACACACACACACACCCAAGAGAGCCATGCATGTCAAGAGCTGTGGCCTGGCGTTCCAGGCCAGTGTCACAGCTGATGAACACTGGGAAGGACACTTATTCTCCCCTCTCCACACCCGGAGAAAACACTGCTGGGCAGAGGGGCACTCCTGGTAGGCATGGGCACTGCTGGACCTGCGGCCTGATGTTAGCCAAGCCGTGGGGCAGCACCTACAGTAACGATAGGAGAGCATGAGCCACGTGCACATCCCATGTGTTTTAAATTTATCAGATTTGGACTTTTCTTTGCCCCTCCATGAGTGTACCCTGTCCCACTCCAAGGAGCCTCCATTGGGTTAGAAGTGAGCTTGGATGCTTTTTCAGCCCAGAGGTGTTAAGATGTGAGGCAGCCAGAGTAACCTTGCCATTGTGCCCTGAAAATACATTCATGTGCACCATGATCTGAAAACGACTGGTGATCAGACACTCTTGCTCCCCCAACTTGTCCTTGGACTTACAGCATCAGCATCCCTGTCCTGTCCTGTCCTGCTGAAGCAGAATCTGCATTTTTAACAAGATCCTGGGGGATTCATAACATCTGGGTCTGAGAAGCACAGTCATAGAGAACAGTAGTGGGAAATAACCTCTCTGTTAGTTTCCTGAGGTGATCACAGGAAAGAGCTCGAGAGAGCACTGACACTGGTCACAGCATCTAATTTAACCTGCATGTCAAAGGCAATGAGAATTTGCACCCCACGGTGATGGAGTGAGTGGTACTAATTAAGGATGCGTGTCGGGGACTTTGCTGTCTTCTGCAGGTGATACATATCATTCATATGGGAGACTGGTCCCCTCCTCAGCCCTACTGCTGGGGAACACAAGGTGGGCCAACCTGGCATATCCCTCCTTAGCCACCATCAAAGGAAGTCGCCCAAGACATAGGGAAGCTACTTACACCCCCTACAGCCTCTTGGAAATGATTGTTCCTTTTCCCTTCTACTGACTGTTGGATATGAAAAATGAATTAATACAAAACTTCAAACTGTCAAAACCAATTCTGATTACCTAGGAAGTGGGAGAGAAAGAGTGTGCCCAGCACAGAAGGGCATCCAGAGCTGTCTCTGGGTCCCTCTGGTCTCCAATGACACAACTACATCCCAGACAGCACCAGGGGTGTTCTGAGGGGTTCCCGATTTTTCCCAGTGCTGGGGACTGAACCCAGGGCCTCATGCTCACTAGACACACACTCTGCCAATGAGCCCAGCCCTGCCAAGAGTGTTCCGAAAAGCCAGTGTACATCCTACAGGAGTTGCCACACAATGGCCGTCAGGCTCCGTGACTAACATAGAGACCCTCTGCTGACAGGGGCCTGGAGGTCCCAAGCCCACTCCTCAGTCCACACCTACTGGGTCACAGGGCTCTGCATTGGGTAGAGCCGGTGACAGCATGGCTCCTCATGGTGTGAGGCTCTGTAGTGGGACTGGTGCAGGCCCCAGCACCAGCAGCTGAGGGAGTTGCAGGCTCCAGCAGAGCCCACTGCACCCTGGCTACAAGGGGGGCCCTTGGAGAGGAGGCCCGTCTCCCAGCCCCAGGCCACGATGATGTTCACCTGCTACTTCTTTCAGGGCCACACTGCACCTTTGTTCTCTAGCACTTAAAGCTGGAGTGGAGTGACCTCCTCATTGGAAACCTGCCTTTGTATTTCTGGAACCTAAGTGCTTTGCTCACCAGGTATCTCTTCTGACACACTGACCCCAAGGGAGAACCTTGCCTGCCAGAGGGGCTGGAAAGAGACATCTTGGAGCACCTGAGTTGCCTTGTGACAGGTGGGACAAAGAACAGACTGGGACTGGGCATGGGGGCATGAGTACTCTCTCTGCCTCTGACCAGCTGGGGGCTGATGTTTTCCCTTTCTTGGGCTCACCTGGACTAAAGTGGTCCCTTCTAGCTTCTAAAGCTGTCTTGCCATTTCTATGTCTTTGTCCCGAGACCTGTGAACTTGTAACTCCACTTCAACCCACAGTCACGGTCTTCTGCACCCAATATATAGGACACTGGTAGTAAAGAATGCTGTTTGATATAACTTCAAACCCAGTCGAAGCCCCCTGGAATATGGAGATTAATTCATGACAGCGTCTAGCAGCTTTTCTAAAATAAGAGGTACTGTATGTTCAGACCTCCCACCTATCGGTTTGATCTTAAAAATAAAAATATGAGCAGGTGCCCATAATATTTTAAGCAGCCTAAGATTTCCAAAAACTTCTTTCCATACTCTGTGAGGAAGTCAGCATCCTCAACTGCTAAAAACACAAAGCATAAATTTGTCAAGGTGTTTAAAGGAAGAATTTTTGAGATTCAATAAATTATATAAATAATAAAAATTTTGAAATAAAATTATTTATAGAATAAGGAATATAATTATTGTTGATAATACACTGCAATAATATTAATATTAATTTAAATGAGAATTTGGAAATTATCTATAATTCAGGTTTGATCATTTGTTCCAATGTACTATATCCCAAAAAGGGAAACTGGCTAACTCGGTGGCTCCAAATATTGTGACTTCTTACCAATCCTTATTGAAAACACACTGAAAAATCTAAATTGATGGGCTGGGGTTGTGGCTCAGTGGTAGAGCACATGCCTAGCACCTGTGAGGCACTGGGTTTAATCCTCAGCATTGAATAAAAAAATAAACAAGTAAAATAAAGTTATATAAAAAAGACACCATTAATAAATTTTAAAAAAAAAATCCAAATGGATAAGGAGCTACACTGGCATGTTCCCATATTTGAACCTCAGATGGCAGCCTCTTCAATACCACTTGTAGAAATGTATGGCAACTGATAGCCCAGAAATATTAAATGACTTGACCAAGGTCACATATCCAATTAGTGTCAAAGCTGAAACTGGGTAGTGACCACTCCTCTCCACCACCTTTCCAGGAAGAGGCTCACTTCATCATGTATGTGGAGTGACCCAGAGTGTGTCCTATAGTTGGCTCTAAGTGGGACATAGCAGAGAGGCTCCAGACAGCTCACTGTTCTTCTGTCCCCAGGGCTGGACTCTGAGGACGACCTTCAGAAAGGTCACTTAGACAGAACTCACTGTGGTCATTCAGCCCCTCTACAGTATGACATGAATATAAGATGTTAGGTCCAAAGGGAGGAAGTGCTTCCAATGGCCAAGGGCATCACAGGGCCGGTTTATGAGGAGGTTTGAAGCCAGGAGAGTACTTTAAGAGACTCTACTGAGGGGGCTGGGCTATAGCTTAGCAGTAGAGCACTTGCCTAGCATACATGAGGCACTGGGTTTGACCCTCAGCACCACATAAAAATAAACAAATAAAATAGACTCTACTGAGGGACACTGAAGCCAACAAGACCAAGAACAACACTACAGGGAGCCATGTCCTTGCCACCTTCAGCTCTCAATGAGACAGATCTAAGGTCTGAGGCACACAGCCTCATGACACACGGCACAGCTTGGTCTTCCAAGATCTGACTCAGAGACGTGCAGGAAGTTTAGCCTTGAATGACACTTTGAACACAGCCACAAAACATTTCCACTGGTGGCACCTTTGCCTTATCTGCCCATTTTTCTTTCCAGAAACTTCTGGTAGATGCACCAAACCAGTGTTTAAAAAAAAAAAAAAAGAAATCTGTTTTCCCATAATTTGTTTTCTCATTTGGAAGAACAAAAATTATCATGAAAATCTCTATAAAGTTTTACAGCCTGGCACAAATTTCAGTGTTTGCATTTGCATCTCCTGGCTCTGCTCTTCTCATGTTCATTTGTCCTTCATTCAGCAAATATATGTTGGGTCTGACTCAGTGCCTGACAAATATTATGGAGGCAGCAGTGAATACACAGGGCAAAACTTCTGTCCCATTTTACAGGTGAGATGACTGAGGCTCACAGAATCCTAGTGCTTTGTCCAAAGTCACATTCCAACAGTGGACCTACAACTAAACTCAGACCTTCTACATCCAAAGTCTGTTTTCCCTACTACTTCCCAACCTTGAATCCTGTTGGTATTTTTCATATACATTGTGTAACTGCAAAAAATAAGGACTTTTTTGTTTTTTGGGACTTGGGATTTTAATATCTGTGGCCAGTCAACCGTTCCAGCCACAAATGTGGCTCTCTTCTTGCTGAAGATGTGGACACTCCCCAGCAATGAAACCAGGCTGGTCTTGTAACCCAGAATCCCTGCAAATCCACTGAGGATCATTAGTCCCTGAAAGAAAAATACAAGCCCCTGCTCAGATAAATCTGCTACACCGTGAACCAATCTAAAAGGCAGATGGTTTCCCTCAAAAGGCAGGTGTCCTTCTGAGTGGTTCATCTATGGGCCATTTCAGCTCTAGTGTGACAATGTTATGTCACCTGAATCATATTGTCAGAGTCATACCTGGCTGAGAGCAAAACCAGTCAGTGAAGAGAATTTTAGAGAATTTTTTGGAGCATAAGATAACCTTGGGGATGGAGATTTGGATCCAGAAGCTTGGGAGGTTTGGAAAGTCCAAAGTATAGGGTGGAGAGAAGTAGTATGGGAAGAGTTCAGAATGAAAGGAGGGGAGGGAGCCATTTGCCTTGGGCTCTCAGCTCTGTATATCTGCAGGCAGGGCTGATGTGGCTGCCAAGGCTGACCTAGGATGTCCGGGTTTCCGATAACAAAAAGGTAACCCCCGCAGCAGAGATTTAAAAGATCCAAATGACACAGTCTTAGCCAATCTAATTTAGCCTCTCAATGGTAGTGCACTGGGAGAAGACAATGAAACAAAGAAAGCTCAGAAAGAAAAAGAGGGAGAGACACCCACCATGACCCAGGGTTCTTAAATTACCTTCTCTAATCCTTTTGGTTTACCAATCCTATATCTTTGATTGTTAGTCTATAAGGACCTCTCGGTGCTATACTGGTCTGACAACTACATCTTTAAAAATAAGAAGCCCAGATGTATGGTATTTGCAGAATTCTTTGGTATAAATACTCCCTCTGTGGCCCTTTTCAAGACAATAGTGGCATCACAGAACATGGAGTTGGGCAGAGAGACCCCTGATCAGCTCTCCTTGCCTCGAGCACACTCTAAGACTCTGCATCTTACCCTGTCTCAAAATGGCAAGGCACCTCTCCAAGTATGCTTTCTCTACCAGTTCTTCCTATCAACGAAGCTTTGACGACTACTAGGCTTCCAGTAAAATGGCTTCCAAAGGTCAGAACCAGTACACTGAAGTCTATCAATATCACTGCATCAGTGATCAAGGCACAAGCCGACCCAAGGGAATACGAATATGATGGAATTTGCCTTCTCCACAAAGCTAATTAAATGACTTTTCCTGTCCCTCAATCATTCAAACTCTGAGTTTTGTATCTCTTTCCAACTCTCAAACTTGCAAGGTAATTGGTACATGATAAGAAGGAAGGAGAGTTCAGGCACAGTGTCACATGCCTGTTATCCCAGCAGCTCTGCTCGGGAGGCTGAGGCAGGAGGATAGCAAGTTCAAAGCCAAATATAGCAATGGCCAGGCACTAAACAACTCAATGAGACCCTGTCTCTAAATAAAAACAAAATAGGGCTAGGGATGTGGCTCAGTGGTCAAGCACCCCTGAGATCAATCCCCAGTACCCTACCTGCAAAAGATACTTTGACACTATCTCCCCAAAACGTCTAACATTTTTAGCACTGGCAGGAGTCAGCTAAGACCTCCTCAGTGTTACTACCCAAAAAACCTGAGAGTAAGTAATTATGCTTCCTGCTGACAAAATGCACAATGTTGAGCATGCCCAATTACAGTGAAACATCGAAATGTGAATAAGAAAAAAAATAACCTATGACAGTTCTACAGTCACGGTAGGAGACACAGCCCATTTAACCAGGGAAGATAAAAATGAATGTCTTCCGGAAGGGCCTTAATCTTCTACAAGATCTTTTCAATTAATTTAACCATGAATAATTTCCTTTTTGAATTACTTGAAATTTTCCATTTTAAATATCAGAAGGCTATTTCTCAACCCATTTCTGTAATTAGATTAAGCCCTGAACTTCACGCTAAGAAACAGAATTCACTGGGAAACAGAATTCCTTTCTATTCGGTTCCTGACAACACAAAGCCCTGGATCCTAAGGAGAGTTAAAGCAAGTATCTGAGACTTCAACAAGAGAGTTGGTTCAGTTCAACCCACTCCTGTTTCCTAAAGAATAATGTCCAAATATCTTTGCAGAACATTCCAGATGCTTCAAAATAGAACCTAAATGCCCTGTGTACCCCACAGACCAGCAGAGTCCTCACTAGATACCTCCAAGACATCAGTGATAGGGGAGAAAACAAGTCACAGTCCGTCAGCAGGGAGGGTGGTAGGAGTCCTAAATCTGGGACCAAGTTGTAGGTGCAAGGTGGGCCCATGGAACCAAGTATTCAGAACTTAGAGATCAACCCAAGAAAAAACAGCTGGAATCAAAAAGAAGGAGAACCCAGAACACCACAGAGTGGTTGAGGCTGGCAGTTAGGGACCCAGTGAGGGTGGCTGGGCTTGTTTATGGAGAGTGGGAGGAGGAAGAGATAGAAACCTGATCCCCAGCCTCATGTACAAGAGGAAAAGCGCCCATCAACCTGTGTTCTGCCCCTTCATGCCTCTGTGCCTCAGTACAGGCAGTTCTTCTACCTAGAGTGCCATTACTGCTTTTGTACCTAATAAACTCTCACTTCTCCCACAACGCTCATGTCTCCTCTGCAAAGTTCTTCCCTGTACCACCACATCTGTGCCACCTCTTTCTTGTGCACACACCTCACCCCTAGTACTGAACAAGCACAATATTTGGTATGCAGTAGGTGCTTAATAAGTTTTTGTTGAGTGAATGAAAAGTTAAAAATAGTTGGGTGGGGGTTGTGGCTCAGTGATAGAGTGCTTGCCTAGCATGCATGAGGCCCTGGGTTTGATCCTCAGCACCACATAAAAATAAATAAATAAAATAAAGATTAAAAGAAAAAGAATAGTTTACACTAAATTCAATAGTTGCATATGGTGTTAGAAAGTTCTACTGATGGGGCTGGGGATGTGGCTCAAGCGGTAGCGCGCTTGCCTGGCATGCGTGAGGCCCAGGTTCGATCCTCAGCACCACATACAAAACAAAAGATGTTGTGTCCGCCGAAAACTAAAAAATAAATATTAAAAAAAAAAAAGTTCTATTGATATTGGCAATAGTTCAAAAAATGAGGCCATCAGGTCAGAAGTACTTGGCTTTCCCCCTGAGTCATCTAAGACAGAGAAAGAGAGACAGAAGGAAGGGGGAAAAAAAGAGTCCTTTGATAGACACAATCCTTGTCTCATATTCCTGAATCAAGAGGAGAATAAATATTTTCAGCATCTAAAGGAATGAAATTTAACAGCTGCAGATTCTTTGGTAGTGAATTCAAAGGTTTAACAACTGATATTCAAAAAATGATAATGGTTTGTGGTCAGTGGAACATTTGCAAAACACCAGAGAACTAATTGATGTAGACAGTCTTCTAGGGCTTTCCATACTGAGGATCAGACATACCTGACAGATTCAAGGTCCACCTGAAGATTCTGATATAAAAGGTTTGGGTCAAGGCATCTTGGCCCAAAAGCTTCCCCCCAGACTACTGTAATGTGAATGCAGTTATTGTAATAGTGAATGAAGGCACTGAATGGTCGCCTCTAAGCCACTGATGATGTCACCTGTGGTATACACAGCTGAACATTAAAGGAGATGGGGTAGCTGTCTGCTTGGTAAGTCAGAGAGAGCCCTCATTAATAATAATTAAGGGCTGGGGATTTAGCTTGGTGAGTAGGGTGCTTGCCTCGAATGCTCAAGGCTCTGGGCTCTATCCCCAGCACCACAAAAAAAAATAATAATAATAATCATTAATTAATTAGTAATAATAGTTAAGCCTACCATGTACTTACTGGATCATCTCATGTGATCCTCCCAACAAGCATGTAAAGGTAGGGGCTGGTATTATTCCCACTGCACAGTTATAGGAACGAGAGCTTAGAGAGGCTAAGTAGCTTATCCAGCTACTAGGTGACAGAAGTGGGATTCCAAATGCTGACCAGTTATTCCAGGGGCTGTGTTCTTAGTCACTGTGCAATGCTGTCTTTTTGCTAAAGTATTTGGGGAAAATAATACCTCCCTAAAACACAACGTCTTAATGAAAGCTGCTTCAATCTGTATCACATTTTGTCCAATAATGCTTAGGAACTAGTTCTTTTGGTAAATCTTGGGCACATTCCCCCCCCCCCCCCGCACGCATCTTTTGTTCATCTCTGTATCCCTATATCCAAACAGCACAATGTTTGGCCCATTACACATGCTCAGTAACTATCTGATGAATTTAAAACACAATTCTGCAACCGTAATAACCACCATGTGACTATACCAAGCACACCACTTAATCAAAGCTCCTGTGCTATGCAGCCCACATTGAAACAGACTGAAAACTGTGACTTAGCTACCCATGGGGAGGACACGGCCAGCATGAACACACTGATGAGCTTCCAAGGGATACACATGCTTTCTCTCTGTGACTGTATCTTGAACAAACCTGGAAGGATCTGGGGTCCCAGTGAAGTAGTGAATGCACGGCGAGCTTCTATTCTGAGGCAGGACAGACACTATACTGGCTGTGGTGAGGAAAGATTCAGAGTCTATGCAGACTCCACTGGCTTTGTCCCGTAAGATGTTAATCATTGTCTGTACAGTTATGCTTTCTGAAAAAGAGAGAGATGGATAGCGGGGAGATGTAACTGTGGCACGTTGTTAACCAAAACCCATTCACTCCTTTCTTTTTTACATTAATAAGCCCCTGAAATTATACCTGGGAACATAACCCTCAGTGACAGAATACATGTCCCAGCTTTCTTTGTGATTAAGTCTGGCCATGTGGTCAATTCTGACCAATGGGAGGTCAGTAGAAATGGTGTGTGCAACTTCCTGGTCACATCCACATCCTTGCCTTTCATTTTTCTCCCTTCCTGTTTGCTGGGAGATGCCAACAATCAGGCCAAAAATGGAGGTCCAGCCCTAGACAATCCATATACATCTGGACTATCACATGGGAAAGGAAGAACTTCTGTGTTCTTCAAGCCACATTAATTTGGAGTCTCTCTGTTACAGCACTTAGCTATACCTCAACTAGTACAATAACTCAATATATATGCATTAGGAAGTGTATGCAGTGTGGAAACAGACCCCCAAGCTAGTGCTGTTTGGGATCATTAGTAAATTTAGAGAATGATCTCCCTACAGTCAGATATATACACACAGAGAGGCATTTAGAATATTTGGAGGCTTTAAGATTATTATCTCTGAATTCAGATGAATGAATAAACAAATCCTTGAGCCAGACGAGGTGGTACATGCCTATAATCCCAGCAGCTCAGGAGGCTGGCAGGAGGATCATGTGTTCAAAGCCAGACTTAGCTATGTAGCAAGGCCCTAAGCAACTTAGTGAGACCCTGTCTCTACATAAAATATAAGAATGGGGCTGGGGATGTGGCTTAGTGGTTAAGCACCCCTGGGTTCTATCCCCGGTACAAAAACAAAAAAAAAAATCTTTGTATGGGATCCCACATCTATAGGCTCCTCTCTGGTTATAATTCATTAAAAGGCTATTTCAATCTGTGTTCACAAAGACGGAATCAAAACATCACATAGGGAAAGAATTTGCTAGCACAATGCATATCCTCTTTATAAATCTCTATAAGATGTCACAACTAAAAATATTTAAAATGTCTTTAATTTTTTTTTAAACTATCCAGTGTTCAAACTTTCTTACTTTCTCAAAAAATAGGTATTGATTTGGAGTTTTTCATTTGTTTGTTGTGAGGGACTGCAGGGCTGGAGATGGAACCTGGGGACCCTGAGAAGGAACGCTCAGCATGGGCTCTACCACTATACTACATCTCCAGGCCTGGTGTAGGATTTGAATCGGAATCCAACAGGTTGGCAATAATCTCTTGAATATTTTAATCTCTGCCTCTTGATTTTTCTTCTTGCACCTTATTTTTCATAGAAATCAGTTCATTCTTCCTGTAGAGTTTCACACAAGCTGGACTTGCACGTGGCATCCCCCTGGTGATACTGAAGATGTTCCCCTCTCCTGTGCATTTCCTATAACCTAGAGGTTTCGTATAACCAGAAGTTTCATCAGATTTAAGGATACTGTTATGCTAAGAACTACTGAACAACTTTCATCAAGCTAGTTTTGATTTCATTAAAAATCTTTAGAAGTTCTTTTTCAAATTCTCATTTTAAAATGAATACATTCTTACCTTCCTATCCAGAATATATGACTTAAGTTTCACAGCAAAAGCCCTAAAGTATTCTTCTAGATGAGAGAAAAGGAAACTTTTTTCTTAAAGGACCAGGTAGAGATTACTTTAGGCCTATGGACCATATGGTCTCATTTTAACTTCCCTGTTGCAATGGCTCAAATTCACCAGTGCAGCATGAAGGCAGACATAAACAACACATAAATAACAGGTGAGTGCTACAGCTTGGATTCTGAACATCCCAGAAAGGCCCTTGTGTTGACAGCTTGGTTTCCCCCGTGCAGTGCTACTGGGAGGTGGTGGACCTTTAGGAGGTGGGGCTTAGTAGAAGGAAGTTAGATCCTTGAGGGCGTGCCCTTGAAGAGGATATTGAGACCCTGGCCCCTCCCCGTCACCCCTTCCAAACAAGCATTTCCTAGCTGCCATGAGGTGAGCTATGTCTTTGCCATGTGCTCTCCTGTTGATGTGCTACCATATCACATGCCCAAAAGCAATGGAGCCAACCGACCATGGACTGAAACCTCTGAAACTAGGAGCCAAAATAAATCTTTCCTCCTTATAAGTTGTTTATCTCAGGTATTTTGTCACAGTGACAAAAAGATGACCAACAGAGTGTGTCTGTTCCAATTAAATTTTATTTACAAAACGGGCAGCTGCTGCAGGATATAATTTGCTGACTCCAGTTCTAATGGATCAAAAGTTTAATTTATACCATGCTTGTAATCCCAGCAGCTCAGGAGGCTGAGGCAAGAGGATTACGAGTTCAAAGGCAGCCTCAGCAAAAAAGCGAGGCATTAGGGCTGGGGTTGTGGCTCAGCAGTAGAGCACTCGCCTACCATGTGCGAGGCCCTGGGTTCAATCCTCAGCACCACATAAAAATAAATAAAGAAAGATATTGTGTCCGACTTACAACTAAAAAAATAAATATTAAAAAAAAAAAAAAAGAAGCCAGGTGCTAAGCAACTCAGACCCTGTCTCTAAATAAAATACAAAATAGGGCTGGGGATGTGGCTCAGTGACTGAGTGCCCCTGAGTTAAAAAAAAAGTTCGACTTACAAAATACATATACAACTAGCAAAGATAAAATGTGACCAGTGTGGGTTTTTTGGAAAAGTTTCCTCTCTGGCACAAAAATGGTAAACTATCTAATCAACACACTTACCTAAATATGGATTCTGATTAAGTCAGTAACTGGGTGGCAGAGAGAGGGTCGAGGAAGAGAATTCAAGACACTTCTACTCAACAAAGGTTCATGGAACAAAGGACTATACAAACATCACAAGAGGATCTTAAGATGAATAAAAGATAACACCCCCGCACTCAAGGCCCAGCAGACTAGTGGAAAAGAGGAAAATATAAGGAGAAAATAAACCAAATATATAACTGAGCTATAAGGAGTAGACTTATTTGCAATAAGTATCACAAAGGACAACATGATAACATCAATGTTCAAAGAAAAAATAACATCAGTAAAAACAAGGGACCTCCACAGGCAAGAAAGCATTGTGTAAAAATAAATACAAGTTGTCTCCTTGCCTGGATACCAGGGAATTTTGGTAAAAGTTAGTCTTTATGTCTAAAGGTCCATTCTCTACCCCTCCTCTTCATCCTTCCAAATCCAGACCAGTGCTCTGCAATAGCTACAAGCAAAGTGTGAGAAGGAGAATCCTAAAGGACAGCCCGACTCACCTTCTTGCTTTTCTAAGCTGTCTTTGCCTGCACAGTTGTCTGGGTGGTCATCAGCTGGAGAAAAAATCTGGGAAAAATTGAACTCATCCTCTCCCGTCCACCAGCCTTGACTCTGAGCGTAAGTCCTGAGTTCAGGGTGCTCCGCGTCCATCTTTGTAGTGAGGGAAAGCTGATTGCAGATGCATTTTACTCCCTCTGCAGAGTACAAAGCAAGTACACTTAGGAAAACTTAATCAGGAAATGGAAATTCATGGGAAATCCTTCCTTGGAACACTGACTTTATAGGAAGGAATGAATTCAAATTTTGAAGCAAGAAACACAATCTTGGTCCCCTTTCTAGTTCCACCAATATTGACTGGCATCATCACATTTTAAATGTGTAATAACTTTATTGCTCTTAAATTCACAATCAAAATGAAATACACAAGGCCCTTCATTCTAAATAACCCCAAGTGTGCATTACCTACAAGAGAAGTGAAACATCCTTTGGAAGAGGTAGTGCTGACAAGATTTAGAAATTCCTCCACAAAAAAATGCTTTGTAGCATCCACAGGTCCCTCCTCCCCAGTCTGACTCTTTTTCACCTGGTAGCACACGTTATACCACCCCCACTCACCCAAATACATACACACACACACACACACAATCTATAATGCAAATCAGATATTTCTTTGTTCAACATTTTTTCAACATTTAGAAAAACACGTGGCAATGATAATGAATCATTTCAGAACAAGGAATGGCCAGACACAGTGGCACATGCCTTTAATCCCAGCAGCTCAGGAGGCTGAGGCAGGAAGATCTCAGATTCAAAGCCAGCCTCAGCAATTGAGCGAGACTATAAGCAACCTAGTGAGACCCTGTCTCAAAATTTTAAAAAATTTAATAAAGGACTGGGGTCAATCCCTGGTACAAAAAAAAAGTGGGGAGAATGTACTTATAAATATATGTGTGTCTAGATGTATGTGTGAAAAATATATGGAAATATTTTCCTTATAAATATATGTAGAGCTAAATGAACTCAGAAAGGACTGCCTTCTGAGTACACTCTCCCTTAATGAATGAGGATTAGGTGAGAAATCCTCTCACATGAGAGACTTGCTCTGTTTCTTCAATTTCTTTCTTTCTTTTTTGTTTTTCAGTTGTATATGGACACAATACTTTTATTTATTTATTTATATGTGGTGCTGAGAATTGAGCCCAGTGCCTCTACATGCTAGGCAAGTGCTCTGCCACTGAGGTATAACTCCAGCCCTGTTTCCTCCATTTCTGTATTTGCAGACTGAGCTTCAAACACATGGAGAGCAACGTGGCCTTTAAGCTTGAGATGGTGTTCAGAGTACAAACATCAAGCTATCAGGGCTAGTGCACAAGGCCCATTCACAATTGTTGCTCCCAGGGAACATGCTGAGCTTCCAAATTCTTGAACAATAAAGTGGGAGAAAGCAAGTCAGCCTAAACTATAAGCTGCTATACAGCCATTACTTCCTAAAACCCAGTCCCTAGAGACAAGCTCAGTGCTGGGCTAAGTGCACCCAGGATGTTTTGCTTCACTGATTTACACTTCCAAAATAAGCACTCCTGGATGATGGGCACTGGTCTTTTACCATTCATTTTTTTCAGAGCGTACCACAGGAGTCAAATTATAAACAATTTAAAAATTTTAAAAAATTGTTTTAGCCTAAACTGGTGATTTTGATATCATTTATACTAAGGTTTTTTTGTTGTTTTTTTTTTTTTTTTTCCATAAACAGCTCCACAGATGTTACTCTCCTAGAGGGCTGATTTATGGTCGACATTTGCTTTTAGGAATCACCATTTGGAGGACAGAGCACATTAATCCTACTGCCATCGATCACACTACTGCTGGGATCACAGGACAAGAAATTGATAAACCCAAGAAATGGTTGTGTGTGTGTGTTGTTTTTTTTTAATTTGAATGTTTAGTGGAAGACAACATTCATTTTGTGGAGATGGATTTTTTAAGCTATATTTTGAAGGGGCTCGGCTTTTGAAATGAAGTTATAGATCAAAACGTCTTTGATTCTACTTAAAAGCAATATGATAGCTTTGAAGCGCGGCCCACTAGCCTTCTCAATGGAACCATTCAATAGGAAGACTTCAGGGGCTGGGTTGTGGCTCAGTACTAGAGCGCTCACCTAGCATGTGCGAGGCCCTGGGTTCCATCCTCGGCACCACATAAAAATAAATAAAATAAAGGTATTGTGTCTACCCACAACACTTCCTCTTAGGAAAGGAGTTCGAGGCTGGGGTTGTGGCTCAGTGGTAGAGTGCTTGCTTAGTCTGTGTGAGGCACTGGGTTCAATCCCCAACACCACATACAAAAAAAAAAAAAAAAACTGAATAAACAAAATAAAGGTATTGTGTCCATCTACAACTAAAAACATTAAAGAAAGGAGCGTGAGGTTCCTGCACTGTGGGAGAGATGGAAACCTGATAGGCCACACAGGTTGCCCTTGTCCTATAAATACTGAAAGAGTTGGGCAAAGTGGGCACAGGCCCTACTGGTTCCATGCTAGATAGAGAGGGGTGGAGAAATTCCTGTGGTTGCTGAGGGACCCCCTAGCCCATTCAGTACTCTTATGGGAATGAGAAAACACCACTCCCTTATCCAGGCAGACACCGCCTTCACACAGTTTGACCAGGAAACCACTAACCAGATTTCTCAGCCTCCAGGGGCAACTAACTGTGTATGGGGTTCAATGTGCCCAACATCCAGAGAAGCCCTGATCACTGGACTTTGTGCACAGGAAACAAGTATGACTTCCAATTACTGAACCAGATCTGCTTCTAACTCAGGTCAGATCTGGCGCCAGTCACCCCTAAGGCAAGTGTGGCAAACAGGTTTCATCCCAACATCTTTTCTGATTCATTGGTAAATTAAGTTGAAAAAAATACATAGACCAACTATAGGTTCAATAAGAAGTATGCAGGAATCTATTAGCCATGTCTTTGTGGACACAGGAGGGAAGAGTGGCAGTGCATGTGCTATGCATTTATCATTCTGTCCTAAAGAATGTAAGAGTATGTCACTGGCCAACCCTCAGAACTCTTGGGAGCCTTTTAACCCATTCTGGGATCCAATCCCATCTAGAATATGAGAGTGCTAGGTACTGATTCAAGGTCACCACTCCCACCTCTAATGCTTCCTTCCCTGTGCTGTCTTAGGAGCCAGGGCCACAGAGCAGCAATTTTATGAGCACTAAATCCTTCCATGAGGATTATCAAGTTCTCTGCCCTTCTAGGAACATTGCCTCACAGAGAAATGGCCTGATTGGTCTAGAGTAGTACTGAATAGTCCTCACACAGATCCAAACTCCTTCTTTTAGAGGACCATTCCAACCACAAACAGCTACAAGGAACTATAGCTGCTTCGAACTCAGGTCAGTTTCCCATTTAAGGGATTTGTCGATCTATTCTCAATGACCACCTTGGTCAATAGAGTAACGGTTTGAGTCATGCAGCAGCCTGTAGTCAGAATTGGTTCCTGCCCGGAAAGCAAACAGAAAATAGGAAATGTTAGGAATATGCTTCCCAAGGGCCTGCATCCCTTCACTCCAGATTCAGAAGACCCCAGGTGCATCTCCAGAAACAGATGCCCAGAAGTGAACGGTGTGCTTAGGCGTGAAGAGCCAGCACAGACAGGGGCTGCACAGTAGCATGATTTCTCTGGGTCTGGTGCTGTGGGTCCAGCCAACATCCATCTCAGTCTTTCACATGCTCAAAACCACTCACCTGTGATTTTCTCAGCAGCCCAGTACTTCCCTACGGTCTCAAGCACCCAGGCCTCTTCTCGATCCACAAGCAGATACGCACTTTGGAAGCTATGACAGGAGTTTGCATCTTCGTAATAATTCCCACCTTGTCCATGTTCTTCCAACAAGGAGACGATGACATCTAAGGCTTCTTTAGCTGTTGTCCCTCTTTCTAAACCAAGCCTGAAGTCAGGAAACAAGAAGTGTTCCTCAGTCATTTCAACCCACATGATTATTGTCATAGCAACCAAAGACCAAGACAAGGCCCAGGCCTGAAGCACACCAATGCATGTACAATGTTCAATTTGCAGACCAACATGCAAACCAATCAATGGTACTTTCAACTCAGAATACCTCTATCACACATTCAGTTACAAATGCAAAAATCATCCCCCTTCTGCACAGACAGAATCAGGAACCAGCAGCTTTTTCCCCTGGAAAGGAAGGTCGGCCCCCTCTTTCTCTGTGCTGACTCCATCTCCCATGAATCTGTCTGGCTCAGCTCTAGCCCTCAGCAAGCCCTGTGCTTCCTCCTGACTCCTACCTAGACAAAAGGAAATCTCTGCCCAGCCCAGCTTTGCTCACCATCATTCTATACAGGTGTTTTGGTTATTGCTACATATTGTGTCCCTTCAAAATTCATATGATGAAACCCTATCACCCAATATAATGATACTAGGCAAGGGGGCCTTTGGGAAATGACTAATAATGGAGGAACCTTATGATGGGATTAGTGTTTGTATGAAGGAGGCCTCAAGAGCTGCCTTGCCCCATCTACCATGTGAGGACACAGCAAGAAGGCACCACCTGTGAGTCGGATATGCGTTCACACCAGACACCAAATGTTGGCACTTGAACTTGGACTTCCCAGCTCCCAAACTATGAGAAATAAGTTTCTGTTGTTTATCAGCATCCTATTTATAGTTATCTCAGTCTGGATGGTCTAAGACAATTAGTAATAACAGTATTTGATTACCAATCATTCTCCTCTGTGTATATAATTTGCTCAGAGATCTCATTAGAAATGGTTGTCTAGGAGGACATGCTCCATCCTTTTTCTACGTATTTCCCTCCTACCTATTAGCCTACAGCAATTGGTGTGGCTTACAGCTTCAGTTATCAAAAGAACACACCTTCCTTCTGAAGTGAGACATCCATCCTGGCCCTTCCAATTAGTAAACTCTTTAAAGAGAATACAGATACTGCCCTCTCTGTGACCATATGCAGTTTACATAATACATTTGAACTTCAGTTTTATGACATCTATGAAATCAGTTCCTATATCATTGGGTTACAATGGATATAAGTTTCATGAGATAATGAACATGAAAATAGATGGCCTGGGGCTGGGGATATGGCTCAGTGGTAGAGCATTTTTCTGGCATGCATGAGGCCCTGGGGTCCAATCCCCAACACTGCAAAAGAAAAAAAAAAGAATGGCATAGTGCCTAGACCAAATAAATGATGAGTAGATTTCAGGGGGCAGAACACTGTCGCAGAGAAATCTGCAATTCAGAAATAAAGAACTAACTTCTCACTCTGGTTTAACTACTCACAGGCAGTATGATCTTAAGTAACGTCTTCTTTTCAAACCTCTATTTTCTTATTGGTAAAGTAAAAACATTTCTACCCCCTCCTCAGGCTGATATGAAAGAAAATGGTACATCATACGTATTCAGTTCATTTATTCATCTGATCATTCAAATTGTAAGTCTGCTGGCAAAAATTCAAGAGTCTTAGAGCAAAGCTACTGAGATGGTGGTACAAGCCTGTTCTTGGTGAATTTTCAACTCAAGAAGCAGTAGCTATTAAAATTCACCCAATTCAGTGCTTTCTGAAGGAGCATTCCACTGTGCTGTCATGGAGAAGAAAAGATAATGTAGCCACAAGCTATGGACTTATTCTGTAACAGGCTTATTTTCATAGTCGATTTATTACGTACCGATTCATTTGAAATTTCTCATTCTAAGCTCATTTAAGAAGGCTTGGTTACAAAGCTCTGATCTACAAAGCTGAACCCTAACGCCTTAGGAGAGTGATAACAATATTTTAAAAATAACCCTGATCCTCTGTGGTTCACAAGCATGGGGATTGGGTTTGCCCACTGTTGTCTGGGAGACACCTCCCTCAAACCTTGTTACCACGTTGGCACATTACCCACCTGACATGAAAAGAAAAAAAAAAAAAGAGCAAGATTACTGAACGATAGAATTAAGTAGACTTTTCCCTGCTCGAGGTTGTCTTCTCCAAAAAGGAGCAGCAAGAGTGAGAGCTCATCTTATCTTGAGGATCTGGAGCAAACCAGTGTGCTGTGAGACCTGCATCACCAGAACTGCACCTGGAAGGCCCCCTTTCTCCTTCCCAGGGTCCCTGGTGGGCCCTAGTCACAATGCTTCCTACACCCGCTCCAGCAGATTCTGCTCCCAGGGCCTTTGCAGGGCCCCAACTGACCTATGCAAATCTATGGAAGGACAGGTGAACACGTAGCCGTGCTCAGTAGCCCCATCTTTGGAGGCTGGGATCTCTCTAATGTTCTCTGGATATTCAGCCTGTTTACCTTCCACTGAAACCCACAATGTGTGCACTTGCCTCCACCCTGACTTGGATGCCCTACATGCACAGCAGGACCTCAGCACCCCAGTACAGACATAATTGTGGTTTCACTCTCCTCCTCCTCAGATCAAGACCACAGGTGGCTCCGTGGACTCACATGACCATCTCCAGCTGGTCTCCCAACCCAGAATGAAGACAGGACCACCAGCTACTCAGTTCAAGGCCACGAAGAACATCAGGGTTCTATACTCTCCTCTGAGACTGAGAGATGCAGGAGAATCCCATGTCACTGAGTGTGGAGGAAATGCCACCGATACCAGGCCTGTGGTAATCCTGGGACACACCCAGCATCCAGAGGCCTATTTTAATGCTGTTTTCAACTGCTTTCCCTCCTAGATGGAGTAGATTCATGTGGTTCCAAATAAGAACAGCACTTTTATGGCCCCAGTGCCTCATTTCCCTTCCATCCAGAGGCCTATTTTAATGCTGTTTTCAACTGCTTTGCCTCCTAGATGGAGTAGATTCATGTGGTTCCAAATAAGAACAGCACTTTTATGGCCCCAGTGCCTCATTTCCCTTCCACCACCCCACATTAGCCTGGGTAAGATCAGGTTAGGGAAAGGGATGAAATTGAATGAGCCAAAGTTATGGTCTCATTCTGAGATCTACTTTCAGTGTAACTCAGATCCTTCCAAACTGTATGCTTTGTCCAGGTTGTTCTGGGCCTGAGAGTTAACTGCTCCTAAATGCAATTCCTAGTTTTATGGGAAAATATTTATTTGGGGCTCACAGCCTTGTCACAGGTATGTCATGCTAGCCCCACCCAATCCTGAAAGATTTACACATCTCACAAGGAAGAAGAGAAACACCTGCACTTTCTTTACTTAAAGTCCCTTTAAGAACTCTGCATATCTTTTCAATATCTGTGCCTCTAGAGATAAGAGGGACCCTGTCCCTTTGCATGCCAAATAAGGTAAAACTAAGTTATAACTAGATTTACTGTGGGATGTGTAATTGCTGTCCCTGAGAAACAAATGAAAACAGTCGACACCCCTCCCCTTAGCCTGGTGTTCTTAGAGGACTCTGCCAATTACCTTCCTTCTTCCCATAATCAACAAGTTTGTAAGTCCCCTCGGGGTAACAGCTGTTATGGCTTAGCTATGAGGTGTCCCCCAGAAGCTCATGTGAGACAATGCAAGAAAGTTTAGAGGTGAAATGATTGAGTTATGCGAGCCTTCAGTGCATTAATGCTCTGATAGGGATTAACTGGGTGGTAACTATAGGCTGAAAGGGTGTGGCTGGAGGAGGTGGGTCACCAAAGGTGTGCCTTTGGGGTTTATATTCTGTCCCTGGAAAACGGAGCTTTTCTCTGCTTCTGGTGCCCAGGTCCTGAGCTGCTTCCTCCATCACACCTTTCTCCGTGATGCTCTGCTTCACCTGGGCCCAGGGCAATGGAGTTGGCCGTTTATGGACCATGAGCCAAATAAACTTTCATGTCTCTAATTGTTCTTGTCAGATCTTTTGGTGACAGCAGCTAAAAATCTGACTAAAACAATGGCCTTCTGGACACTGAAAAATTCCCAGCCTTCAGCCAGAGGGCTGGACGTAGGAAGGTAAGGCTGTGAACTGATCGTACATGTCCCCCCACCCCCAAAATTTGTATGTTGAAGCCCAACCCCCAATGTAATGGTACTTAGAGGTGCCTTTGGAAGGTGATTAGGTCATGAGGATGGAGCCCTTGTGATAAGATTAGGGTCTTTATGAAAGAGACACCATATCTTGTCCTCTTTCTGCTGTCTGTCACATAAGGGCACAAAGAACAGGCAGGGTCTGCAAACCAGAAAGTGAGTGCTCACGAGACACTGGATCTGCTGGCACCCTGATCTTGAACTTCCCAACCTCCAGAAGAGAAATAAACATCTGTTGTTTAAACTCTTCAATCTATGGCACCTTTATCAGAGCAGCCCAAATCAACTAAGAAAGGTCACAAGTGGATGTTAAGTGCTGCATTGATTTGGGAATTTAAAACTGATGGAAACGCATGGTTTTGGACTGCACTTCTGCACTAGGCTCCAACATACCAGACCAGACCAGACCAGACCAAAAGGGAATCGCGCAGGCCAAATGCCCCACAATCAAACTAAAAGCTTTGCTAGGTGCAGTGGCACACGTCTATAATCCCAGCAGCTCCGGAGGCTGAGGCAAGAGAATCACAAATTCAAACCAGCCTCAGTAATTTAGCAAGGCCCTAAACAACTTAGCACAAACCTGTCTCTAAATAAAATTCAAAAAGGGCTGGGGAGGGGCTGGGGTTGTGGCTCAGCAGTAGAGCGCTCACCTAGCATGTGTGAGGCCCTGGATTTGATCCTCAGCACCACATAAAAACAAATAAACAAAATAAAGGTATTGTGTACAACTAAAAAAATTTTTTTTAAAAAAAGGGCTGGGGAGGGGCTGGGGTTGTGGCTCAGCAGTAGAGTGCTTGCCTCCCATGTGTGCAGCACTGGGTTCAATCCTCAGCACCACATAAACATAAATAAATAAAATAAAGGTATTGTATCCATCTACAACTAAAATACTTAAAAAAAAGAGTTTAAAAAAATGAATTTAAAAAAAAAGGGCTGGGGGTATGGCTTAGTGGTTAAGCGCCCCTGAGTTCAATCCCTGGTACCAAGTGGGTAGGAGGGACTGAAGCTTTAAGGGAGCACGAAATAACTCCAATTTTTTATTAAAACAATAGATTCCAGTCTGCCTGAGTCAGCATAACAAGGAAGTCCCTTCTGCTTTCACACTTCCAAAAAAATAACCTAATGTTAACCAATCCATTTTTCCCCTGCTCTTCTGTTTCCTTGCTTCCATTTTATAAAACCACTGTTCTGCTATTGCCTCATGGGAACTCTGTTTTGCAGAATGAAGGCTACCCTGATTCATGCGTCACAAATAAATGCCATCTTGACCTCAAACTAAATTTGCCATCATTTTGACTTTTGACAGAAGGCAGGGTGTGTGATCTTTGGGCTCAGTTCCACCTCTCAGTGTCCAGAGCTTCCTGTCTCATTAGAGTAGGACTGCGATCTAATGCAGAGAGGAGTGGTTCACCTGAGGTTAGCAGGTCCTGGTATTTCTGGCCCAGCCACCATCTAGCCTTGGTGCTGTGGGCAAGTCCTTAAACTCCAGCTTCCTCATCTACTAAATGTAAGTAAACAAACAGACCAATGTCATGGCTGGTTGTGAGAGCTGAACGAAATACATGCACATATGTCTTCCTAGAGTGATCAGTGAGCTAGAACTAATGACAGTTCTTTCCTCCTACAGTGATCAGCCTCCCTTCAAATCACCTGTGAGTTTCCACATGCGTGAACCACCTAAAGAGAAACTACAGGGCTTTCCAAATTTTCACACTGGCTTCTTTCCAGCGACTTTTGTATTGATGTTCTTGCCATGCTGAGGGGCTAACGGGATGTGTCCAGAATTATAAAATATTCTGAAATACTGAGATTGACTGGGTTTTTGTGCCAACATTAAACACAGATAGGATGAGAAAAAGTCAATCTGCAGATAAAGAAAAGAATAAAGCTGTTATGCAAAGAAGAGACTTGGAACACTGAAGGAATGGGGTGACCTGTCCTAGCCAGCCGTACCAGTGTTATCAAGGAAAATGCTAAATAAACCCTCTATTTTCACTTGCTCTTAATTGACTTATAAAAAAAAAAAAACAGTAATTTTGGAGGACACACAGCTAGGCAATAACATTATTAATCCCCCACTGGCTTTGCTGTAGATGATACCTGTGGGTTATGACAACAGCTCTCTAGGGCTCTTCAGGGACCTGAGGCCCACTGTTGCTGAAAGCACTGACTCTTCCCTTGGGCCTACAGATGTCGGATGGGCAATGGAATGGGATAAAAAGGCTGGCATCTCTATCTTCATACTGTGTCTCTCTCCTTTGTTGCCTCAACATCTGAGCCTGATTCTACTCAGCCCTGCTAAGAACACTGGAGAAATGTTTTCTGCAAAGTATAATACAGGGTTGACTTTACCAGACTTGCCTTGTGGCTCTCAGTCTCCCCACTTTAAAGCTAAAGGCACCTACCAGCTTCCAGAACCAGAAGTACCAGATCATGAAAGGAATGAAAAGAGGTGACACCAGAGTTCCTGGTAGATCTCTGCCTATTCCCAGAAAACACAGGACTATTCCTCCCCTTCCTTAGCCTCTCTCTCTCTCCTCATGATTCCTCTCCTGTGTCTGTAACCCCTTGACTCTGGAGTTGAGAAGCTGATTTGTGAGCAAAACCCTTTCTCTTCCATTCTTTGGTCAATGAATAAAGCCTTTCTTTCTCCCCAGTACTCAACTCGCAGACATGATTCTTCCATGGGTCCAGCCTCCAAAGCTGAGCCTAGTAACATCAGCTCAGAGAGCAGAGGGTTAAATTTCAGGGATTTTGGACCAATTGTTAAGCAACTGGTAGCCATGAAATCTGTCCTGGTGAGAGTAGAAAAGTCCACAAATCAGGGCTGCCCCTCCCCCAGTTGATTATTAAACATTTCCCAGCATACAGCAGACTAATGGATCCTAAAAGCTTTCTAGTCCTCATAGGTGCTGAAGCCTATATGCATTATCATGACAGCCAGACCCTGGATTGTAAGAGACACCTTGACATTCAGTTAATAAATTCCCCCCTTTATGTTAGCTCCTGTCAGCTACTTGACACTTAGAACCAGCCTCATGAAATGCAGAAATGTCTGTATCTATGTGCCTTTTCTTGGGATTGAGGATAGGAATGGGGGAAACTGGTTAACAAAGTCCCACAGAGATCTGTGGATAGTAAAAATAAAAAAAATTAACAAATACATAAAAAACAAAGCTTGGCTTTTAGCATCAGCATCAGTGGAAGTATTGATGTTCTTGCCCTAATGCTTGCATTCACACAAGCCTTTAAGAAACACGTATGAATTGTACCTTTATTTTAAATCCAGTACCTGTTAGAATGCTACTATCATTCATTTATGTCTCTTGAACTGAGGTTTGATTTGACATATGAATGGAAAACACAAAGGACCAGGATACTTATGAAAACTGCTGTACTTTTTTTAATATTCCAATAAAGAATAGCAGATACTTGGAGTGTAAAATATAAACAGCCTCCTCTCACAGGAGCTGTTTATATTTTACACTCCAAGGAAAGAACTGGCATCCAAGCACAGAGGACAAGCAAGGGCAGAGAAAGTAGGGGCACCTCACAGCAATACCTAGGGTGATACTGAGACTGACATCAAAAGGATGGAACCAACCCACAGCAAGTTCCCCCTGCAGCAGGGCTATTCTGTTTTTTTCACCCCTCAAAACCTTCTAGAGGGATTGTTTAAACAGATTGCTAGCCCCACCCCCAGATTCAGCAGAGGTCTTGTGGGGACTGATAATATCTAACAGGTTCCCAGGCCATGTTTGCTCACCGTTCACACTTTGAGAAACAGTGCTCTAGAACCTGGCCACTCAAACTGTGGTTGGCAAATCCTCAACATTAATATCTCCTGGAGCTTCCTATAAATGAACGTAAAAGGGAGTTTGGTTGCTCTGAAATGGTCCCTTAGAATTTCACCAGACTTGGCTGAACTGATCCTAGCCAGTTTAAAGCTGAGACCAAACCCTTAACTCGAAGATCCATGCAAGGTGCAGATAACAGAGGCCCCACTCTGAAGAGCCTGCCTGTCACAGGGTCCTCCTCACTCTCTTTTTATTGCAGAAGCTACATAGGGCTAGCCAGGGTAAGAGTTAAAACTAAATAGCTAAAGTTCAGCCCTTACCCTGTCATCTATTCCTGACATATGTTATTATTCCAGACCTTGCTAGCTATCACAATACCAATTATGTGCCAAATTTATCTTTGCTGTCTATATCCCTGAGTCTTGCAGATAGATGCAAGTCAAAAACTCCTCCTCAAAGCATCCCAAATGTGTCCAGTCTGTGACAATATCTGAACATAGAGCAGAGCTTGCTGACCATCCTCACTTTGTGAACCAGTGCTCTAGAACTTGTTTCAGTGCTTATATTCTGGAATTCTGTGCCACACATGTGATGTCCAATCTCCTTGAGTCACCTCTTTCCTACTGTCATCTCTTATATTGTTCATACAATTTGCATTGCTCAACTTTCTGTCTCCTCCCTGCAACCACATTAAAATCTTGTTGAAGCTTTGAGCTTCTTTATGCACTCAGGGTCAAGCACAAAGTAGATATTCAGTAAACTCCTGTTGCCTTATGGGTTGATAATCTTGAAAAGATCAATCTGAAGCATATAAGAAAAAAAATTATCAAAATAAAGGTATTTGTTGGTGAATGGATGGAAATGGAGAAAACCATGCTAAGTGAAATAACCCAGACTCAGAAAATCACGGGTTGAATGTTTTCCTCTCATCTGTGGAGCAAACAAAGGAAAGAAGGCAGTTTAGTCACTCATTCAAAATTCTGTTGGTGATCACCCATTAGTTGCCAGGCCCACAGTTCCCAGGGATTGTAACATGGGGTAGAGGACCAAACAAAGATCCCTGCCCCATCCAGCTTCCACATCCAGTTCCTTCTGGTGCATGCTGGCTAGGAGACGAGGGAAAGAAAGAAGAAACAACTGAGAGGTAGAGGGTGAAGGAGGGTGGTCATCGCTCTGATGGTTTTTAAAATTTTAAGTGTTTTATGTATCTTTTCTTTGACATATACTTATATATTTCAAATACAATAAAATTTACCCATTTTAAACTATGAGACTCAGTGGTTTTAGTCCATTCATAAAGTTGTACAACTATCATCATGATTCAAGTATAGAACTTTTTCAAATGTCCCCAATAGAAACCTCACACCCATTAGGACTCACTCACCATTCCTCACCCCCACCCGAACCTAGGCAACCACTAATCCACCTTTTGCCTCTCTGGATTTGCCTCTTCTGTATTGTTTCATACAAATGGAATTGTACAATATATGACTTTGTGCCTGCCTTCTTTCACTCGGTATAATGTTTTCAACATCATCATGTAGCATATGATGGTACTTGATTCTTTTTTATTACTGAAAAATATTGCATATTAGCTTATTCTCTTTTTACCCCACCATCTGAAAGTTTCCATCAAAAGGCACACATCAGCTCTGGGAGGATTGTGTTACCAAATATGAGGTTCAGGAGGAAATAAATCTCATCCCCATTCCAGACTATACTGTCTGGGTAGTTGTTTCAAAGAATCACCATGCAGTACCTGACCAGATCCATCCCCAGTAAGGCTTCCGTCTCAGCAGCCGGTTCTCTGGTGTTGACGGCTTCATTGGCTATGCACACGCCGTGCTCATTGGCTCCCATTTCTGCCCCCCAAAGCCAGGCGGGTCTGCTTATCACTATGGCATGTGTCCTCGGAACTTGGTCAATTGAAATGTAAGTGCACTAAAAAATGAAGACAAGAAAGAAAGCACCGTCACCTGTCGGGTACCTCTTGGTTTCCACCCAGGCTCTCACAATGGACCATCACATCAGTCACAGAGCCAAAAAACAAAAGGCCTTGTGAACATCCAGCTTTAAAAGACACCTGGAGTCGCAATGCAGCTCAAAGGTTTCCATGGTGAGTTCAGTCTGTTTGGTTCAAGCCAATCTGTTCATAGTGCTTCCACATCTGTGATCATCTTGCACCAGGTATTCAGCCAACCTCTGCCCTGAACACTCTGTATCTGGCCATCTCCACAGCCACAGATGACCACCGGGATTTCAAATGAACATAGCTATTAATTTCCATTTGCAAAAATCCTGATGGATCAGGGTTTCTGAACTTTTCTGAAGGTATAGAGCTCTTTCTTCAAAAGAAACCTCACCCAGAAGCCCGACACAGAATGTGGCTAAAAGGGAAGATGCTTTGTCTGAAGAAAGAAGGTTCCCTGAGACCCCAACAATAATTCCTAGAGTTTCCCAGAACACAGTTTGACAACCTATATGATTTCAGTAATGGCAGAAAAGGAAGAAATGGTTATGATATTGGGATGAAACCATGGCATTCCAACATGCACCTCCTTGCACATTGCTTTCCAGTCTGGGCCACTGGATTCTCACACTAAGGCAGTGAGAATTCTCTACGGTAGTGAGGCAGGCACAGGAGGAAACAGATCCATGGAGGTGTGCTTCTAGCTGCTGTCACCAACACAGTACAAGCCACTTAGACTTGCATGTCTTAACCTTCTCTGGGCTGCCCGGTCTTTACCTGAGGGAGCTAACTTAGATCACAGTATTTCTTCCAAAAGTATTTTTAACTGTAAAACATTTCCTTCATAAAAACTCTTACACAGAAGTGGAAATACAATAAAACCGGTTGAAGTGAGCTGGGGCAAAAAGATGAGCAGTGTGGGACCAGGACAGGTGGGGACATACTCACATCCTTGCTTGCTTTTTTTCCTTAAGCTCCCTACCCTGTGGCCCACCAGGGGACTGGGCTGGGCACAAAGCTCTCCAAGGCCCCTATGACACACTCTCTGTGTGGTGGATGCAGTGTGGGCCACTAAATTGCAAAGAGCTCTTGAGCTCCCAGGGAATCATTTTACGAGCCACAGTGTCATTTACATTTTAAATGGGGCAGCTGAAAGCCCGGGATTACTGAAGCCTAGGCTTTTTTTTTTTTTTTTTTCAAGACAGTTCTATCGACTGAATACAACCCAGAAATCTATTCTGCATTGATTTCCTGTAATCTCTGCTCCTCAAGTAAAAGCTGAAATGCACGTAGCAAACACAGTGGTTTGGTCGGGTGATATCTGTGTCTGCACAATCCACGTCACGGGTTGCACTGCAGTGGCGGGGGGATATTATTTCACTTGATACATATTTGTAAACTGCAAGCTAATTAAGTCCAGGGGTTGCCAAGAAACCCTTGAGATTTTGGTGGCAAATGAACAATGAAACATACTCTTGAAATGTTTTTCTCTATTCCATTCCCCAAATTTATTTATTTTAATAAATGATTCATCTAGAGCAAAAGGCCAGCCAAAATAGGAATCGCAACTATGTTCCCTGTGCTTTTCTAAGTTGAACTGAAGGTTCTACCTTAAAATTGCATTCCTCCGTGTTAAAAAACAAGAAGCCTTTCAGGCATTGCGATGGTTTTGATGTTGAGGGATCCCCAAATGCCCAGGTGTTAAAGGCTTGATCCTCAGGGTGGTGCTACTGGGAGGTGACGGGACCTTTAAGAGGTGGGGCTAATGGGTGGTCTTTAGGTCACTGGCCCTTGAAGAGGATTGTGGGACCCCAGCTTCTTACTCTTTCTCCTCTGCTCCCTGGCTCTTGAAGTTAAGCCATTTTCCTCTGCCATGACAAGCTGCCTCATCCCAGGCCCAAAGCAACAGGGCAAACCAATCCTGGGCTGGAGCCTCCAAAACCGTGAGCTCAAATAACCCTTTTCTCTGTATAGGTTAAGTGTATCTGTTACTGAAATGAAAAACTGACAAAGACAGGCATTGGCCAAGATTTTCCAAAAGCCCAGTCCCCACTGAACACAAGTGACAAATTTTGTCTTGAAAAGCAAGAATGGGGAAGGAATCTCAGCTTCTTAAAAGAGATTTATCATGATTTTTTTTTAAAAGGCAGGAAAAGAGTAGAAATAGGGAATGGTTTTATTGATTTGTCCTCAAACACATTTTTACACATTTATACCCATTTACCAGTTATTTATAGAGCACCCACTACATTCAAAGTATTTTGTGCCAAGTGTTGCTGGCAGAAAATCAATGAGGATGGCTGTTTTCTGTCCCTTGGTTGGGAAAGAAGAAGGTCTATCCACATAAATTGAGTAACTGCCAAATGACTCCAGTGTCACAGAGGCCTGTCCATGTCATACTCATGGCATCCTGCCCCTTCCTTCTTATCAACCCTGCTTTGTTTTTTTATATTTCCCATTCCATTCATTCCACTTACCACCTGATAAAATATTACACAGCTCATCTATGCTATCTCCCCAAAAGCTAGAAGGTAAGCTGCAGGAAAGAAGGAGGAAGTCTTTGTTGTTTAGTCCATTTACATATCAAGGCTGGTCCACAGTGGGCACCAGTAAGCTTTATTTTTCATGAATGGACAGATGGATGGTAAAGATCTAAGGGAGCATAACAAAGGTCCAAAGGAAAGAGGGAACACATGTAAGTGGCCAGAGGTTTTTCTCAAGTGGTGACATTTGAGTTGATTTGGAAAAAAACATATGTCAGACATCAAGATATTCCAGACGGCTGGGCGTGGTGGCAAATGCCCATAATTCCAGCAACTCTGGAGGCCGAGGCAGGAGGATCACAAGTTCCAAATGAGTCTCAACAACTTAGCAAGGCCCTAAAGCAACTTAGCAAGATCTTGTCTTAAAACAAAAATTAAAAAGGGCTGGGGATGTGGCTCAGTGGTAAAACACCCTGGGTTCAATCCCCGATACAAAAAAAAAGATATATTCTGGAGAGAGCAAAGAGCCCAAGAAAAGGCAGAAATGGGATGTCTGTGGTGTATTCATGGTCCAGGGAGGTCCCCACCGTGCAGCTAAGGGCAGCCATTCTGACAACACTGAGGCACAGAACTGCAAAGGCTCAACAAGGATTGACAAAAATGTTGCACATTGAATCAAAAAGACCAGATGGCCCTTGTGGGAGTTCAAACTGTAGGCAGCCAACCTGACAGTTTCCGGGCCAAATTGAGAATGATGAGGAAGGAAGGGGATCCCCAAATAGCCAGATGGGACAGATCAGCCCCTCATAAGCACTAGAACTGAAAGCCAATGTGGCCACATCCCCCTCATGTGCTGGGAACCTCAGGGAGCCTGTAACACATGCCCCTGGCGGACTCTTTGTCATAGACCAAGGAAGCCTGGGACTAACAAGGGCCCTTCTGTGACAGTTATTCATGCCCGCTCCATTGTGTTTTAAATGTGGCTAATCACAGCCACCTCTGGGGAGTGGGACCAGGGAGGGGAGGGATGAACACATTATCCTCATAAGCATGGGTGATTTAAAATCCCAGGTTAGGACCAAAACTCACAAAATAATGAAATTTACACCAGAGGTAATTAGCTAAACTCTGTAAAGCCAGCCATCTAGAACATAAACTCCACAGGCAGTCTTTTCTTTCTTCTTCCTTTCTTTTTTTAAATAAAATTCACTGACCTTGACAACTGCTACATTATTAATGAGGCTGACACAGAAGTGGGATTTGAGATGGCAGAGGAGGTTTTCACAGGAGAAAATATCCATCCAGCACCTGAAATCTTGTTTCAAAGTAGAAAAAAACAATTGAGTGCCTCAAGTCAAAATTCCTAGCTAAATTTCTTTTAGAAAAGAAAAGGAAAGTGTTTCAGCCCTTGGATGGATCCTTAGAGGTGGCTGCCATCTCAGCTTTGGTTATTAAGCCATTCAAGTGAACTGTGAAAAGGGATGAGTGATTTGTCTTGCTGCCCCATGGCTACTCCCTCCCTGACTCTCATAAAACAAATCTGTCAGCAAGTATGACTTTGGGGGTGTCAGAGCCTCATAACAATATAAGAATGCCCACAGCAGCCAGGGAACTTGATAAGGTTTGCTTCCAAATGTCAACTCAACCTCATGTGAACTCTGGGATTTTAAAGGACCATCCTGTCCTGAGCCTGCCCCTCTCCGTAGCTGCAGGGGACACCTACCATGTTGGATAGTGGAAAAGATGAGCCTTGAAAAGGCCCTACAGAAAAGATAAAAACAATGATCCTGCAGAGCAAGCCTTTTATTGTTCTACAGGAATGGGTCAAAAATGAAAAGCAAGATCAGCTTCCTGCTGGCGCCTACCCTGCCCCACATCCCAGCCACACTATTTGTGGACGTCGCCCAGTGAAAGGGGGAGTAGACGCTCACACAATAGGCGGTTCAGCTAATGAAATGCAACCATTGTGCCTCTCTTACTGTACTCAGATGGTGAACACAACCCTGGCACCACCAGTGAAAACCATTATGGGATGCATTGATGAGTCAGCCAAACTTCTTATGGTGGAGAGAGAACAGGCAGGGAAATGGAAGGCTGCAGAGAAATGGCTTTAATTTTAGAAAAAATGCAACCCTAAAGCAGCATTGCTCAGCGTCACTGAGGGTTTGTTCGTTTATCTTTAAGTTTTTAATCCCAGTGTAAGCTTACTATTGTGCATCCTTAAAGTTCATAAGAGTCTAAATAAATAGTTGACTAAAGAAGGTGGGGAGGTCAGAGGGCAACACCATTGACCACACTTTAGAACTGCTTTGGATTTTCCTGAAGCTTTAAGAGATCTCCGGGGATGAGCCATGCAGAGGCCTGGGGTCAGGAGTAGGTTTGGGAAAAGACACTTGCTGCCAAGCTGTGTTCTCCTGGAAGCCAGGGCAAGGCTTCTGGTTTCACACAGCTCCTGGTCCAGGTGTGGAAGGACAGAAAACAGACACAGA